TTATGTACTATGGGGGGGCGCTTCAGTCAGCCGAGGCTGTTGGCGTATTTTTCTGTTCACCTCAAAAACAGACAAAGAACTTATTCTACAGATTAAAACTAGTTAATTTTTTTGATTTTGTGTTGTGCAATATTATTATCAGTGTTGGTTAGTCGAATAATATAATTAATNATTGTTAATTAATAATAATTCATCCCACGTTTACCTGCCATTTTTTGCAGTATCATCTTTAACACACACAGATAGTGTATGTTGAAGTAAGAAATGCCAATAAATTAAATTACTGCACTACCAGCAAATAACAATTAAAACAATTAATGTGTAATGCACTGGTTAAGATTGATAATTGTGAATTATGAACTATATATGTTGAGGCTGAGAGTGCACAATATAATTTAAAAAACACAAGTTAGTTATCATTATCTTCAGGTAAATAACTGAAACCCTGATCACAGAAATAAAAGTTTTATAAGAGTATTTTAACTTGCATTTTTGTAACATGCTTATTTGATAACATTATCATGTTATATACTGATGATAATATCTGTGATTACATTAAGAAGATTCTACTGTACACCTGTTCCATTTAAAATGCATAATATTCAGTGTTTACTTATATAATATATACTTCAAATATCTTTCACAAATGAAAACATAAGAGGCATTTTTCACAATTAAATCATCATTCAATAATAAATAAATACAATTATGATATATTTGGATTATCTGTTGAATTTAAGTAATAAGCTACTAAAACGTACTTAACTTTTTAATCTGAAATCAGAATAATGTTATTTGAACAGCACACAATTGGGGACAGATGGAACTAGTTAATCAGCATAGGAAACATATGGACTAGTGCTGGCACCTATAAATATGAAGAGAGGGAGTCATCCAGTACTACCAGTGTCACTGGAAATTACCAACTTCCCAATGGTCCCATCTGCCACACACACAACATAAAACATTAACCAGACAACATATCTAAAAAACAAACATTTGGTTTTTTTTAATCTTTTTAGATACTTTGTATGAATATCTACAGCGCTTATGATATTCATACAAAGTACAGTATTTGTTAGTATTATGTTCTATTTGTTTCTTAGAAAATTTCTGATGAAAACTGCAAACGTCAGAAAGTTTTAATACTTAATATTTTTCAATAAAATTTAACTCTTGAAAACTATTTTTTAATGAAATAAATTGCACTTAGAGATATGAAAAGATCTCTTTATAGATTTTGTTAATATAAATTCTTATATTCTAATTATAATTTTAATTGATGGCTTTAAAAAATTTAAATGATAATTTTCTCTGCCAAAACTCTTTCTGAGAACTTAAAACTAGAAAAAGAAATTGATCCAATTAATTATTATTAAAAACTTAAATAATCTATTTTGAAAAATTATCAAATTGTAAATTACACTGTGAGAATATTCTTGCTTTTGCTAATATTAAAATAGAAAATACTGATTAAATGAAAAATATTTAACTAAGAATTTTATACATAGCCAAACGACAGCCTTAAATACTCGGGCTATAAATCTGCTAATTTTAATAATTAATACTAAATAATTTGTTATATCTAAATTTAAATACATCTGAAAGCAAAGGATTGCTCGGGGTCCAAGTGGTGCAACTGACAAGCACACTGCACGGCAAGCGGAGGTTGCGGGTTCAAGCCCTGCCCTGGGCCAGTTCTTTTCTTTCAGATGATTCTAAATTATTCAATAAATTATTTAAAATTATAATTATTAATTTAGATAAGAGATGGCACCTAACATCTACCTCCAGTATCAAATTACTTGGGTACTAATTATTAAAATTAGCAGATTTACAGCCATAGTATTTAAGAAGATCATTTGGCTATATATATATATATATATTTANCATTTCCTTTGGGTTAAGGCCCATTACCCTGATTACTGAAAGACTTTGTTGATTCGGTTCGCCTGGATCGCGACGACCACATCGAAAACAGCAGCATTCTGTCATAAAGATGTTTAATTTGTTATTCCGAAAACGTTTATCACTATAAAAATCCAAAAACAAAAAAATTCACAGAAAAGCTTGGTCGGCCAATCAAATTTCTTGGTCGTACTGTTGCAACAGTCTCAATATCTACAGATAGTTTTTGTAGACGAGTAGAGAGTAAAAGGGGTCGTGAACTGAAAAATAAATTAATAAATTTTAATTTGTAATTAGAATTAAATAATATTTATAAATTATTCTTAAAACTGCATACAAATATATTATACACAGTAACAGAACATGATTGTTGGTTTAATTTACTTAATAATTATTAATGTCACTGAAATTAAAAATGCTATAAATCATAGATAGGTGGTCAAGAGACTCCTGTTAAGTCATTCTTGCATCAAAATTAAACTGCATTAATGAGTGAATCAGCATCATCACTATTAACTTACTATTAAATAAATATTAATTTGAAAACTGTATTATTTTGGAGTGACTACACTCAAAAATATAAAAATGACACAAGTTATAAACAATTGGGAGTTTTTTACTATTAAATAAAACTTCAAAAAGAAATTTTTAGCTAAATACACAAACATCTCAAAGCTCCATATTATTAATCAAAGCCAAATACCTTTCCATCCTTGGATTATTTACAGTAATAGATATCACATTACAAAACAACTCATTTCACTGCTTTCACTATTACTAATATAGCTAATCTGAAACAGACATAGAGGAATTCAAAATTTCTTAGCCAATAATTCAGTGTTTGATTCCTGAAAGCAGTTAACTAATTCAAGATTATTTTATATTTAAAATTCATTAAATGAAATTCAGTAGAAATATTTTTGTCATATTTTACAAAAAATTCAAACTTCACAAAGAAATTTTCCTAATTTCTAAATTTAAAACATCTTTAATTGATTAATTTTTTTTATCAAACAAAAAGAATATGTATTGTCTGTGTAAAGATTTTTTTAGAACTTCTTTTTATCTAAAACTATAATCACGCTATTATATGAATGAATGAATGAAACAAATGATAATCAAAGCAAAATGTTCATATCATGCTACATGACACAGATTGAATTAGAACATAATTGGCCAAAAAGGTTTTGTTTACAATTATCAATTTAAGAAAAAAGTCAATTGATCTTACAAAACAAAGTGGCAAAAGTCGAGACGTTTTCAACTCCCGGCAAACTGGTCAAACAGTTGGCAAAAGGAAACAAACTGGTAATTCGTATCTACTTGTAGCAGTTCATATACTAATGCAAACCCAGATTATGATTGAAATGTCACTATAGCTTCTGCATGAAATGTGAAACATTTTGGAAAAAAGATGCAGAGAGGATGTTTCATCAATTCTTGAGCTATAAGTTTATCAAACTTAGATTCAGATTGTTCATTTCTCTGTCAAATTCACAATCCTAATAAAGAAGTCAAAGGGACATTATGTTGAAACAAAAATATATTTCTTTGTGTAAATTTTGAGTTAGAGTCAATTTTAAATATACATTCTAAGTGTATATCCTGCAGAAAATTTCTAGAATGAAAACTGCCACAAAATTCACATCACTATATACTCTCTGCTTTGAGAGCTGTTATGACACTTATTGCTATGCAGTTTAGAAGGTACCATCTCATTAAAACTTTCTGTTTTACTTTCATTGTTATTGTATTCATTGTTATCAAGTTATTGTAGATATATATATATATATCTAATGTTATGCAAGATTTGGCTCGCAGAGCAGAACTAAAAGAACCCTACATTCAACTGGAGAATGAAGCAGAAAGAGCATCGTCTCGCAAATGGGTGAATGCTGTAATTTGGAAATTCTGCGACTTGGATGTCCATCCACATGACAGGTATGGATTTTTANATATTTTTCCTAAATTAGTTTTTAATGTTAAAAATCTCTCAATCTTTGTTTCTATTTAAGAAAATTAGATTCAGAAAATTGAAATGCACCTTTCAAAAAGAAGTACAGTATATGCAGATGAGTCCTTCAAACAAAAATATAGTTGTCAGAACTACTTATACAATCATATTTATCATTTAAATGACTTAAAGAAAATGAAAGAGAAACCATAATTATTCTTTTATTAATACTGAAAAGAAATAATTATTTGGTTTGATTTAAACCTGGGAATATATGAAACAGTCAGTTAATCAGAGAGCTATATTGTGTTACATGACTAATTCTAGTTATAAAAAAAACTGCAATTGTTAATAATCATTAAATGCTATTTAATATGCTGCTTGGCAGAAAATTGACTGTTAAAATATCAAAATTATTCTGGTCAAGCATACGAATGGATAATTTTAGTTATCATTCATTTTTGACAACAAATTTAAAACATTATAAATTGAATGGAAAATATCTATAATATAGTGATAGACAGCACGCTAATCATTTGTTACGAAAAACTTTTAACATATAAGCATTAAATTATATACGTATGTCACTAAATTGACAAGCGCTTTCGACGATACACGCTTTATATTGAATGGAACCAATTTAATCTAACATCTTTAATTAGGCCTATTCAGAATCAGATTTATTTATTATTGACTTTCATTTCTTATTTAAAAATATAATATAATCATTACATTCCAAATTTATTTAGTATTAGATTTAGTTAAAATATTTGAGATTAATACAATGTAGTAAATCAAAGTAACCGGAGATATAACTAGGGTTGATGGCACTTAGGACAAATCAAAAAATGAAAAAAATAGAAACTAATATTCTTTAAAATTATGTCTAAATACTGGAACATTTCCAAAAGAGTATGTTTTTACTCAAATAAAATTTTAAAAATTACACTTTTCTCAACATTCTGATTTTATTTTAGTTTTTTTTTACTCATAAAATGGTACCCCCAAATTTTGCACCTAGAGAAAGCACCCCAACCTGCTCCACCCTTGTTACAATCACTGCTAGTAATATTGTATTCTTCATTCATTAAATTAAAAACTACACTATTATTATTCTAAGTATAATAATAATCCTTACCAGTTAACTCAATATTGTAAGTAACATTCGAAGGATCGACATTAAACGAAAATGTTTTCCCGGTCTTTTCCATATCACCTACATCAGACATATTTGACAAACCATTATATCTTTTAGAGTTAAAATTTTCACTATTTTCATTAACAGAAACATTCTGAAAGTAGTTTTATAAACATATATTAATGAATTTTCTTTACTAAATTTTTTTAATGAATTTCTTAAATATTTTTACCTGACAGACATCATTCTCATTTTGAGCAAATATACAGTTATTTTCAGATTTAACAGGACTAGACAAATTTTCACACTCTCTAGCAGAAGCAGATTGACCAGGCATCCATACTACATTTAATTGCTTAAAATTAATTAAAATTCATATCTTCTGTAAGTAATATTTATAAAATTTCAATACCTACTTGCTTTTGTGGCTTGTGCTTTGAACATAGGCCCAACAGGTGCAGCTAAAGTAAAATGCATATGTTTAATTTTTAAACTTAATAAAATTAATTCACTTGTTTAAACCAGTTAAATGTATGTAGCTGTATAATTATATAAAATGCGAATATTATTAAGTATATTAATTATTTTATACAAAATAACTGGAACTAATTATTTTATTACAATAATTAAATGTAAACATAAAAATTCTCAATGTAGCAGTTACATAAAATAAAATAAAAATTTTTTTTACGTTTTCATTCCCAAATTTGTTAAAAATAAAGCAAAAAAGGAAACTTAATTTTCGTAAGGAAACAGATGACACGTGTCCATTCAAAAACGTGGCACGAAAATGCGCGTGCGTTGAAAGGTAATGTTAGTAAACAAATATAGTAAAAGCGCATGCGCTGATTATTAAATAATCATATGACGATTTCGAATTGAAATTAAAATTCACGTCACGCTACGAAATAAACACAATTCGATAATAAATAAATAAATAATTTTTATTATAAAGTTGTCGATACAGAATAAAAAAAGTATGAAAAAAATTGACGTCAAGATTTTAATTTACACTTCTCACTAAACATAAAACTTTAGTAATTTTTATCGTTACGTTCATTGTGAGAAAGTTCTCGTTTAATAAATTGAGCAATTACCTAAATGTTATAAATTTAATTTATAATACTGTAATTTATATCTTACAGGTTTTCCAAGTAGGCCTATGTATTTGCGAATACTCGGTCAAGGATAAAATAAAATATACACTGTTATTCAACACGATATCCAGCCCTTTTATTTACTTATACCGAAACTATTTTGTAAAGTAGGCACATTTAAACTTGTTTTCAACCAGTTAAATCTTCCACACGTACGAAACAATAATAATAATAATCTTGCTTACTTACCATTAGAAATTTCTACAACTTCGTTTCTCTTTTTTCTTTCTTCTATGTTTTCTTTAAGTTCCTGAACTAATAAAGTCCTTAAAAACTGCTGCCTATCGCTATCCCCCTTCTTTTTTTCTTCTTCTCGTCGCGGAATATGAAACTCGGGCCAAGAAAAGTTCGTACTCTCTTCTAAACTTTCACTTAAACTGGGCAAATAAGATTTCTTGTTATTGATAATTTTATGATCAATAGAAAAACTGTCTTCGGAGGAAAGAAATCCAGAATCCAGTTCGGAACTTTGGTTTAAATGCTGATGAGAAGGATAAGAAATTTCGGAAAATAATTCCTCTTCGTCGTCCGTTAAAATTTGCAGGCATTTGATGATGTCATCTTCTAAAATTTGAAGAGGATCTGGGCTAGAAATGGCTGAAACAATCTCCTGATTACCATCATCGTCATCATCATCGCAGTAATTCCAATCTTCTGAATAATCTTCAAAATGTTTGAAGATGCATGAAGGATGATGATCTGTTTTAGAGGTATTATATTTAGAAAGAACTTGATTTAGATTCTTCAGAGCATTAGACGATGTTTTCTCCAAATGTTCAGCTCTCAAGCAACAGTATGGACGATCGGCTCTCATACAATCTTCTACGTATGATGTTAAGTTATTCATCGATTTCTCCATAAACACTTGAAGCAAGATGAAATCAGCGATGCAGGCAGCGAATTTTTCGACATCCCTGCCATATCGAAATGCTTCAGATATCACCCAATCGCTTAAACTTTCTGCAAAACTGTACATGGCGTTCAAACTGGTGGTCTGAGTCGAGTTGTCGCTAGAGAAAAACATATTCTGGGTCTGAACCCCGATCGAACGACTTTGAATCACTGCCATTCTTAAAAAGAAAAAAAGAAAAAAAATCGGAAGAGAGTGAACAAAATTTGTGCAGCTGTAGAAAGTTTAAGCGACTAGAGAGGGTGGACTAGCCTGCGAGAGTCAAGTATCGCCCAGCAGTAGATAACTAGCGCTGGAACATCTCCAAAACTCGTGACGTCACGCGACTTTCGTGACACCCCGTACAATACAGGTGCAGCGTGTCACGAAAGGCTACGACATGGAGACGATACAGAATGAACTGAAGACAAACTAACCAACGTTATCCACTTCCGTTATTACAGACGCCTTCATCGAGTGACGTCATTTCCTCTGTTAATGTAGAAACTAAATTTATCTTCGAATAACTTTTTCTCGGAATAATAATAATTTAAAAAAAAGCCCGAATTATCCGAATTATTTTTCTCGCTAACAGAGCTTAAGTACTACCATTTGGTAGAGCGCAGTTCTTTAAAATTCCGTCTAGCGTTTTACTTATTTTTTCCCCTGCGCGTTTCTTCTTACTAGGGATATTAATACAATGAGGAAAAAAAAAATATATCCCTGTTTCCTGTGGATATATTTAGTTATATCTTTATTACTCACTTGTCGATGTCGAGATGGTGATGCTGATTGGGCGTACTTCTTCAGATGTCGACTCGCCAATGACGTCATCTGAGGAAGTGAAATAAAATTAACGACCTTGGCATTTCTTATCCTAAAAGAAGGACATATTAATCTAATACTAAAATTTTCAAACTACAATATCATTTTAACGCATTTAAGCTTTCTATAACGTAAAAATTTAAGCTTAATAATATAAAAATAAATCAGTGAATGTAAACCGCGTGCGGAAAAATTAATCAAACTACCGTTTTAGAACTGTAACAGCGTCCTGAATGCTGATATCGCAATCTTTTTAATTCAATAAATGCTGGCGAGAGTATTAATATAAAGTAGAAATGTAGCAATTTTAATATTACTCGAACAGACTATATTTTTTAATATATATATAATCAAAAAATATTAATGTCGACCACGAAAAGTGACGTCGTCAAGTTAAAGCCGATTAAGACGATTAAAGGAATTCTTCCGCGTTTTGTAAATGAAAAAAAGGAGATTGGTGTCATTGAAGTTATTTTATGGAGTTATTTTAATGCTAGAAAGACATCTGGATGATTTCTCCTTAAAATTCTCAAAATTGGTCGGATAAGTTTGAAAAAAAAAAGAGGTAAGGACATAGTTTAATGATTAAGGATGTTTGTTTTGTTACGGATATTCAGTTTTTTCAGATGTTAATTGGCGTAAAAATGTATTTTTAAATGTTTATTTAAGATTCACTTCCTTGTTGATGTGAAGAAAATTATCAATCTTAGTTATGAACTTCTAATCGGCGTAGAAGTTAATGTAAACCGTAATTATATAACCTTAGAGATGCGGTCTATATGTAAGTAGGCCCGCCGAGAGAGGAAGTTAGGGATTTTTCTCCATACTGGCTCGGGATTTAAGGGAAATAGAAACTACACGGATTTTTCCCCGCGTCCATACGAGGAAAAAGGCATTACATACAAGCAGATCACATTTCTAAGGTATATAATTATAGTTTACATTAATTTCTACAAAGACATTTTTATGTAAAATTTTTTTATATCTGAGAAATGAAGCTGGAAAAGTATGATAGTATCAAAGCCGGAGAAATGCATTTTTGTCAATTAGTTCAGGGGTTTGAAAACAAACTGGAACAATTGAAGATGTGTGTAACTATTTCTTGTACTATTCAAATCAGAAAAAAAGTTTAAACCTATCGTAAACAGCGATATCTGAATTAGAAAAATGTGCTTGATATCAATATTCAAACTTTTATTTAACAGTAACGCCTGCATTTTTTATATTTTATTCGCTTTTTTAATATCTATAAATAGTAAAAGAGTAAATCACATTACTGTATTTGCAAACTAACTGCATTTATTCTATGAGATATATACTAAATTGAATATCATTGACGTTTAATTTTATAACTCCCAAAGTTAATTTTGTATATGTAATAAAAATTGTATCTTCTAACTACGTAAATATGTTTAAACAAGCTAAAAATTTTAATTTTGTAATCTTTTGGAAATATAATTTCTGAATTATAAATATTCCTCATCTCATTATACAAATTTTTGTGGATCATGATCCACAGAAATTACATTCCTGGACAGTGTGGTCCTCAGTTCTCTGCTAAGCTAATTAAATTAGGTTGAGAAGCATTAATGTGATGATTAAATATTTTTTTAGCCTACAGATTGTGTAACTTTATTACCGATTCGTTTTATTATTTTCTTAAATGGATTTCAATGAAAACAAAAAGAATATATATAATGTTGGAGCATATAAACTATATTACATCATAAATAAAATGCCAGATAATTAGAATATATTGTATTGTTATTTTAATGAATTTTCCTATTTTATTATTTATAAAATCTCTTAGTTTATGTTTTGATACATCATTTATGGCTAATAGGCAATAAAGCATATCATAAATTAAACTTAAATATAGTTTGAATAATAAAATTTCCAAGTGCTTTTTTTATTGACAAATCCAGAAATGATGATGAATGAGTTAAAAATAAACTTATTATTAGCATCAAATGTGTAATTAATTGCATATAAGTTTTTAAAAAAAATTATACTACCACATGTAGAGAGATCTTATTTAATGATAAATTTAATTACTATTAATGAACTCAGCATGCATTAAATAAATGAGAATTATGATTTCTAAGAAGGAATGAATCATTTATTTTGAAGTTTTTTCAAACATTAACAATGATAATCTGATTTAGATTTATAGGTTAATTCTATTCATAAATAAATAAAATGAGTTTAATTATCTAAGATTGTGATAAATAATTAGCTCTTTTAAAACAGACTAAAAAAACAAAATTTTAAATATAAGTTACTTACCACTTTTATTTTCTTTATTGTTATTGATATACATCTGTACAGACATAGTTTCTGATTTTTCTTTAACTGGGGATGACTGATCTGAATTTTGGAGAAAAATAAAAATTAAAAGATTATATATTTAAATAATTTATTTTGGTATGTATATATATTTTTTCAATTAAGTTCGATCTTGTGAATAAATAAATAGGAAAGGAAAAAGATTCCATCTAACAAACAAAATATTTTGTATTTGCCCATCCTGCAACCTTTGATCTCTGCATGTCTGCCTTTCACAGTGGGGCGTTCAAGAGGTTCCTAAGAAACACCACAACCAATACTTCATTCTAAACTGGATAAGAGTCATTTGACAAGATACACCTTGCTTGACCTTTGAACTTTGACTTTTGTGAAACACCGCTTACTTCTTAGAATTGTTTAACCCCTTCTAAAAAACTTTTTCAGTAATGAAAAGATTTTATTTAAAATCAAACATATTTTTGAGGAGGAAAATTGTAGAAAAATAGATTTTTTTTTATTGTTTTATATAACCAGAACTATAAAATTTAACAACTTTAATATTTCTTAACGAGTTATATAATAAAGTTGCCTCATAAGCTTATAAAACCAAGAAAAATTACGAAATTATATTTTAAAGTTTTAATTATGTCAGCATAAATTGTATGGTTATTATACACTTACAGACCTAATTTTTTTTTTTTTAATTTTGGAATTAACAGTTTAAGATAACAACTTTAAATCGACATTAAACATAGAAGGTAGACTTAATTTTGAACGTTTCTTAGGTAAAGAAATCGAAATTTTGCTCACGTATGAACATTAATCAGCATTTACAAATGAAATATAAACCTATAATCATTTGGAATCATAAGATATTTTTTCCCCTGGTTCTAGGTCTCACCTTCGTGTCATTTAACGATGGCATTACAGTAACTCGAAGATTGCATATAATATACAGTCTCTCAATAATAAATAATCTATGATTTTTATCCGATGTTGTCCTAAATTTTATTTTTAAAAAGTTTATTCTAGTCCTTTAGCTCTTAAGGAAGAAAAATAGAAAACTTTAATTTGAATGGATTAATTATGATTAAACTCACGCTCATACTGAGATATTAAAACAGAGTTAAATTAATTTTATATCAATTAGAATTGATTGTAATTTGGACTAATTTGAATACTCATCACCCGCGATTAAAAATTTAAATTAGTCAATTCGAATTCGAATTGACTAAATTTAGAATCTCATTATCCAATAAGAATAGGGTAACTTTTGTGAATTCCTATTTAACAAATCAAAATTAAGTTTCGTCTCATAGAATCAATGCGGCTTCGACTTATATCTGTTGTAAGTTGTTAGGTTGACTAAAATAGCAGGATTGCGTCATTGTTACGTAAATTAGGTTAGAGTTAGTGTTACAACTCGTTCGACTTTCGCCCAAACAGTTCAGTAATCTAATTATTTATACTGTGTTCGTTTTAAACACGTAAATGGCTAGTAAAATTTATTAAATACGTCTTAAAATCAGATAAAATCGAATGTTTTTTCGCCATTTGCTGTTACGCATACTCGTATTTTGATTATTAATTAAATATGTTAACAATATTTGAATTTTTCTTTCATATTCGTGCACATTTTAATCCTAAAAAAGCTATTAAAAATTATGCGAACGTCATTGTATATTGTGAAAATATTAAATCTACGTGTAAGTGCTTGTTATGAAATTGTGCAGGAGGAAATTAAAAAACGTTTCTTAAGAATAGAATGGATCGGGGTAGTAACGCTAGTTTTTACTCGACGTTTAGTAATAATTCTAGAAAGAGGTGATATTATGTAGGAATTTCAGCTCACTCAACGATAAAAGACTAAAGGATTCTCAAGAGGAATGTCTTTAGTAACATATCCCATTAACTCGCCTTAAATATCATTGGTTAACTTTAAAATGTATCATAAAAAGGTTTTAAATATAAACTTACCCGTTAGACGACTATCGACAGTTTGGAGTGGTCTAGAAAGTAACTCGTTGTCCCTGAAACGAAGTAAATCACATGATCAAACATCTCGTAACAGGTCGGTTGTGCCTCAAGAAAAGTTATTTAAGTTGTTACGAAATTCGGTATAAACGGAACCGGATATTTTTAAAGTACCCGTATTTAAATTATATATAGAAATGAACTACAATTATCTTAGTTTTAGGAAATTATCGACTTTGGTCCGTATAAAGCTCGCACCTGCGAAGTCGAAGAGTCAAATTGTCACCGGAATTCCTGATGAGTTGTTGGACTTCGATTTGCGACAATCCAGACAGGCAGCGTCCGTTTACGGCTTCGATAATATCTCCCTCACGAATTCCGTACTTCCCCGCTTTGCCACCTCCATTAATCTACCAAAAAAAAAATAAAAAATAAGATAAATATATACAGTAAAAATTACCTTTGACGTTGCTTCAAAACTGGATTTTTATATAAATAAATATTTAACAGTTCAAATAAATTTTTCGAGTCATCTCCGCATTAATTCCGAGAAGGAAATTGACCTTAACGAGAAATCTTGATCCTTCGGCACCGTTGGCTTCCATTTACTCTTTGCTTTGATTCACTGAATCTTCGATGAATTAAATTATTATTTTTTTGAAGAAAATTGGATATTTTTATTCGCGCATTTCGGCATTACACAATACGAATATGATTTAAATATCAAATATCCTTAATGGATAAGTGGATCGGAGCGTTGAAGCCATCCAGCATTCTGTTATCCTATTAAAATCAAATATCGGCAGATCCTATAATCACGCTTGGTCTCTTATCAGTAACGTTCTGTAAGGTGGAGCCTCGAATACCATTGTTGGGTGGAACCACGATCGTTCAACCTTCTCGCGACCAAAATTTCCGAGATTTTTTTTTCTTTCCTTTTAATATAAAAATTGGAAGTTTGAAAAAAAGCGACGCCATCACGAATGCCGCCGGGGAAATATATTTTGTCATCAAAGTAACGCGAAAACACTGCCGAAATACTTGGAATAAATGCAATTTTTTACCCTTAATAACTGTACAAAGTGTTACGGTACTATTATGCATCATTTCAAACTACCGATACAGACCTGTCGCGAAGGTTACCCTTATAAGGTATCGGATGGGGTGCGTTTTAAGGCTACAGCCAGGGGGTAACGTTTAACAAAACACAAAAAAAGAAAAATTTACTTAACCCGTTCCGGCATACACATTATATAAATTTAAAGAAACATCTAAAACTCTTTCCCCGCTTAACCCTCGTTCATTTACTAAATCGGGTTTCCGAGAACGCTGACGTAACGCTCTTCAAATAGTGTCGCCATCTGATCGCCATCATTCCAACTAAGAGTCAGAAAGAATTACGATAATTTTACGATGTAGGCGTGTAGTGTCGTCGACCCATTTTCGTTAATTCGGAGGTTCGAAGCCTGATAATAAATTCGGCAGGATGTTGAGCATTAAGTAATTTAACCACGTGTTTATTTTTGAAATTTTAAGTTCGTGCGCCGTCGTGACTAATAATAAAAATCTGTGTAAAAGAAGATAATTATAAGATATCTTTACGTGAGGTTATTATTATTATTTTTTTAATTATTTGCAGTAATACAAAAGAGTGTTTCGTGAAAGAATTTAGTTATTCCAGTTTTTTTTCGGTCCTTTGCCGTAATTTTCGAATTACGTTCTAAAAGTGCGTCTCGTGCACAAGATGTCAGAGAATAAAATAAAATAAAAAATCGAAGGGCATGCAAGAAAGTTTTTTCTAATTGTATGCATCGATAATTCGTATGTCCTTGGCCTTGGTCAGTTTACGAAAGTGCGACCTTGTACAACTTTCCCGACGTCGAACGATGGCAAATAAAAAAAATCAAGTTCTACGTTTGTTTTCGGAATTGCTTGGAAAAAAAAAGTTTGGACGCAAATACCGAAATCTCTTAAGGGAACCTTACTAAAGGGAAACACAATCCGTTCTTTTTTTAGCGCCTCCATTACACTTCGCCCATCAGAAAATTTAATAAACGGCATTCGATCGAGGCGCGCAAATATCCGCTAGTGGGCGGTCGAGGTTAATCCTGACAGTTATGCGGCGTAATTCTACCAGGAAATGGTGAAGAAACGGTTAGAGTTATCTACGCGTCGCGACCTTTGAGGTTAGTTTTTAAACGAGGTCGAACGTTCTCTGGCTTCGTACTCGTAATAACAACAAACAACAGCCATCTGATAATCGCGCGTACGTAGCTAGAGCCTCACAATAGCAACTCTGTTGGACTGTTACGCAACAATCTCGGAAGTTTGTCTCCTCTTAAGAAATACCTAAGTTCCTTTCTTAGCAATATCGTTTAACATCGTCGTCGCGATATTCCTTTACTCGCGCCGATCTTCCGAAACCGGAGATGTTGGTTTCCGAAATATGTTAATGTATATCTTAATACCAAAATAGGAAATGATAGATGGAAGAGGCAAATATGTCGAGATTAGATATCGCGCGCGTTTACGGTAAACGAATGACGTCAAACGTTAGTTCTGGCGTTAATTAGACCACGTAGGAAAAAGACTAAAGTTAAACTGCCGATAGTTTCTATCCTAAAATCGTCCAGCGAATTTTGGTCAAGCGAAGTGCCAGCGAATAAAATGACACTGACACTTTTTTTAATGGTTGCAAGTACGAGGCACGACACACTTACCCTGGACACGTGAATGGGTCGAGAGGTTTCGGATCCACCTCTGATGCGAAAGCCCCAAGGAGATCCACCGACTAATGTCACTACATAATCTCCGGTCATGTTTTTAGTTTTTGGTAGAGAGCGCGACAAACTCGGCTATCCCGGGTAAGGCACGTGCACACGATGGTCCCCACCCTGTTGCGCGACGTTACGAACCGTCGCTCATGCGTGTTGCACGACGATTCTCGTTGGTAGTGGGAGTCGGGTTTTTTTTCGTACGGTCTCCAGCTGACGGACCGAGCTCGAAATCTTCGCATCCGATGTGAACGTTAACCCTGCTACGGTGTCGCCATCTGACGGGTCGTTAGGGCGTCATCAGGATACAATCCCCGGAAAGGGTAATTAGTTCGGCTAGGAATTCTCTCCCCTCCGATTATCGTGGGAGATGATTTCGAGAAAACGAGCTTTAAAGTGTTCGAAAATCAATTTAAAATAGAAAATTTAATAAGAGAATTTCTATTTTTTTATTTTTTTACAAATTAAGTTTTATTTGTAGATTACGCGGTGAAATTTTTTTGGATGATAAATTCAACACGGCGGCAAATACTGTGTCGCCATCTAGTGAAATGAAAACGTATTAAATTGATTTCATTTTTAGCTTCTTACTAGAAACAAAAACACGTACAAAAGGTGAAGATTACATTTATAAAACACACACTCGCCGTTGAAAATTACGACGATGAGTTATAACAATTTTTTCTGACCGTTTTAAATATTAAAATTTCAAAAAGAAAAAATTAACCAAACTTGAATTTGCAAACTGGTTGAACGAACTGTCACATGACGTCAGACGAACAGGCCAATCGGGCTAAGGCGCTCGGGCAGAGAGAACAGAAGGAGCAGACATTTCCCAAACTCTTTACGTCGCACAGGTGAGTGTGTTTTCTATCATCGATTAAGTTTCGATCGATTATGATAATTAGAAAACGGACAATCAGTCGAGTCACGAGAACGGAGGACGAAGGACGAAACGAGATTTTCGGACGCGTCGGTGGCCATTTTTGGTCACACCTGGACGGAAACGATGTAGGTTAGAAGTCGAAAGGGTGTGGTTTGCTACCTGTTAAATTTTCTCTTCGTTTTGGCTCCTATATGCCGTTCTCATTCGATACACACCGAGTACGAATATCAAAGTGGTGAGAATAAGTCTTAAATCGCTAAATGACTTTAAGGACAAGTGAAGAATGCGTTATATTATCACCCCCGATTGTGTTCACTTGTCTAGACTTTGTGGAAGAGTACACGCGAAAGAAAACTCTACACTTCATTTAACAATCGCTTCAGATTGAATACAATAGTTGGGCGCGCAACTGTGTGAAAAATCATCGATTTTCTCTTCTCGCTTGCAAAAAAATCGATAATTTTAAAATTTTGTTAAACGCGCGACGTCCAATTTTTTTTTTTTACTCTTAGTTGACTGGATATTGCGCTTCCAGTTTGAATATTTTCCCTTAAGCAATCCGATAATTTTTTTTCTTTTTCTTCTTCTTTTGCGAAGGTTTTAAAGGTCGTTGACGCGAATAAAGTCGAGTAGATCGAAGAAATTAGCACGATTTAAAAGATTTTTTTTTCAAGTCTGCACTTCCGCCATTTTCGTTTCCGCTTTAGCAAATTAATTCCTAAATTGGAAAATTATTTTACTCATTTTTACCGATAAATTGCAAGAAAAATAAGGGGTGAATAGACTAATTTTTCGGTCGAGCGCTTTTTTGAGATCGCTAGAGAATTTAATAGATAATAATGCGTTGGGCAGTAATAAAATATATTGCCACTATCGTGGACTTTGATAAGCGAGTCGGGAAGAGTTACTTACGTAGGTGAATTATTCCACCTACTCTTTAAAACAAGTACAGGTACGTTATCACTTTTAAATGGCAAATTCTTATTCTGTAGAAAATTCCAGGTGTAATAGTTCGTGTATTATGTCATTGTATACAGGAGTCTTGCCTTTCCGATTGATGACGTAATTTCCCACTGTCCTTTCACCTCGCTCTTAAAACCTAACTTATCTTTTATGATGTTTTGCGATGATAAAATTATTTGATGTTTTCTGGATTTTTGGCTATGGCGCAACTAGAACATATGTTAGAAGGGTGTCCTATGTAGAAAGTGAAAACACTGTCCACTACAGATACAGCCTCTAGTGTTGTGGATGAAGTGAATACACTCCTATACACGAACTCTTAAATATTGGGTATAGGAGTGTATAAGCACATTGTCACATCCCTTTCCTAAACATATTTTCTTAATTTATTTATTTATAAAGGTAAAGGGGCCTAATCCTAGTGGACCTCTCCCTAGTTACATTAATGCACTTTTGCATCATCATCCTTAATTGATGACTCCTACTTTTTTAAATTCTGTAGCATTCCAGTTAGACGGGTAAACCATTGATATTAACAGAAGAATGAGACTGCTGTTTATCTTTTTACTAGTTTGTCTAGTAATAGCATTATCTGTTGCAAAGAAGGTGAGTTCAGTTGTTTAGTAAATTATAGAAAGAATTATGCATAATCTAAAAAGCCTTAATCTTTTTAATTTTTAAAAAATTGATTATACTTTCCCAATTAATTCAGCATCACCATAAAAATCATCACGAAAAGAAACATTTTCGAAAAACCGAAATAGAAAAGGATGTGCTGGATTTAATTGCAGAGGATGATGCCGAAGAAGAGAGGAAAAAGAAGAAACTGAAACAGTTTGAGAAATTAGATGATATTATACTCAATGGGGGATATGATGAAGGTTTTTTCCAATTTTGATAAATCTTATCCCTGAAATAAACTAAAAAAGTTATTACAGTTCACATTTCTAATTCTAGATCCTTGCCGTCGTCACCACTGTGGAGCCGGAAAGCAGTGCGAAGTAGATGCCGATGGAAAACCGGAATGCGTGTGTGTGAAGGCCTGTCCGAGAGAATTGGACGAGAGAAGAAGAGTACAAAGAAAATTTTGCTTAATCAATATTAATATTTATGTTAAAAAATGATAGCTTAAATATACTGAATGATGCAATTTAATTTTTCAAGGTGTGCAGTAATCATAATGAAACGTGGGACAGCGACTGTCATTTGCACAGAATGCGTTGCCTCTGCATGGAAAATGACGCACTCTGCCGTCACAGAAAATATAAACACGTTCATATTAATTACTATGGAGGATGTAAAGGTAAATTAATATAAAGAAAGAAAGCAAATTTTTATAAGTATTTTTGACAACTTATTAATATCCAAATGCAGAAATTACTCCTTGCAGAAAAGAAGAGCTTGAAGATTTCCCTCGTAGAATGAGAGAGTGGCTATTTAATGTTATGCAAGATTTGGCTCGCAGAGCAGAACTAAAAGAACCCTACATTCAACTGGAGAATGAAGCAGAAAGAGCGTCGTCTCGCAAATGGGTGAATGCTGTAATTTGGAAATTCTGCGACTTGGATGTCCATCCACATGACAGGTATGGATTTTTATCCAGTTCATTTCAACCAGAAGTGCAATTTTTAAACAAGGTTCTAAAGTGTTTCAACATTTTTCTAGAGTTGTAAGTCGCCACGAACTGTTCCCGATCAAGGCAACCCTAATGTCTATGGAGCACTGTATAGCTCCATTCTTGGATGACTGCGATGCTAATAATGACCACAGAATCACTCTCCTGGAATGGGGAAAATGTCTGGGACTTGACAGTGGTATTTACTTTTATTGTTTTTTTTTCTTTTTGTAAATATTTAAAGGATTGCTGTATAAAACAAATTAATTAAATTTCAGATGAAATTGAAGATAAGTGTTCCATGATAAGAAAGAAGCATGGATAAGGTTCAAAAGCAAACTGGAAAAATGGTGCTAATCAGAGCCACAGAAAGCTTAGCTTGCATATCTCTGGAAATATCGGTATAACGTCTAGATGTAAAAAATCAAAAAATCAATCAATCTTCATCCTAAAACAATGTAACTGGCAGCTAAAATTATGTATATGGTTATTGTCTTATTACTCACTATTCATGGACAAAAAGAATTTTTGATATATATATTATATATATTTACTTAATATAATTATCACTGCCAATTGTTATTTAATGTTATCTGTATTTAATAAAATGAATATTTCATAATCATCCATTAAATTAAATTACAGAGAAACACACATACACAACAAAATCATTATATTTACCTATATGAATGTATATATAGATATTGTAATTTTGACATAGAAGTTTTACTATTAAAATGATTTTGTAATAACTGATTTAAAGGACTACATAGGATCACTACAATCAACAAAGAAGGCAATTATTCCATTTAACAGTGAAGTTAAAATACAAAACTAAACGATATCGTCAACCATATTGGTTAATTAATCTTAATTAAAATGTTTTTTCCGTCAATTTACATATTTTGGTTTTTATGATACAATTGTTAGGCATCAAATTTTTAATTTTTTTTTGTTTTACATTTGAAAAATGTAGTAAATATTTCTTTGTTTGATTTTGCTGGAAGATTACATTACCACATATCGGTTGCATTTCCTTTGGGTTAAGGCCCATTACCCTGATTACTGAAAGACTTTGTTGATTCGGTTCGCCTGGATCGCGACGACCACATCGAAAACAGCAGCATTCTGTCATAAAGATGTTTAATTTGTTATTCCGAAAACGTTTATCACTATAAAAATCCAAAAACAAAAAAATTCACAGAAAAGCTTGGTCGGCCAATCAAATTTCTTGGTCGTACTGTTGCAACAGTCTCAATATCTACAGATAGTTTTTGTAGACGAGTAGAGAGTAAAAGGGGTCGTGAACTGAAAAATAAATTAATAAATTTTAATTTGTAATTAGAATTAAATAATATTTATAAATTATTCTTAAAACTGCATACAAATATATTATACACAGTAACAGAACATGATTGTTGGTTTAATTTACTTAATAATTATTAATGTCACTGAAATTAAAAATGCTATAAATCATAGATAGGTGGTCAAGAGACTCCTGTTAAGTCATTCTTGCATCAAAATTAAACTGCATTAATGAGTGAATCAGCATCATCACTATTAACTTACTATTAAATAAATAATAATTTGAAAACTGTATTATTTTGGAGTGACTACACTCAAAAATATAAAAATGACACAAGTTATAAACAATTGGGAGTTTTTTACTATTAAATAAAACTTCAAAAAGAAATTTTTAGCTAAATACACAAACATCTCAAAGCTCCATATTATTAATCAAAGCCAAATACCTTTCCATCCTTGGATTATTTACAGTAATAGATATCACATTACAAAACAACTCATTTCACTGCTTTCACTATTACTAATATAGCTAATCTGAAACAGACATAGAGGAATTCAAAATTTCTTAGCCAATAATTCAGTGTTTGATTCCTGAAAGCAGTTAACTAATTCAAGATTATTTTATATTTAAAATTCATTAAATGAAATTCAGTAGAAATATTTTTGTCATATTTTACAAAAAATTCAAACTTCACAAAGAAATTTTCCTAATTTCTAAATTTAAAACATCTTTAATTGATTAATTTTTTTTATCAAACAAAAAGAATATGTATTGTCTGTGTAAAGATTTTTTTAGAACTTCTTTTTATCTAAAACTATAATCACGCTATTATATGAATGAATGAATGAAACAAATGATAATCAAAGCAAAATGTTCATATCATGCTACATGACACAGATTGAATTAGAACATAATTGGCCAAAAAGGTTTTGTTTACAATTATCAATTTAAGAAAAAAGTCAATTGATCTTACAAAACAAAGTGGCAAAAGTCGAGACGTTTTCAACTCCCGGCAAACTGGTCAAACAGTTGGCAAAAGGAAACAAACTGGTAATTCGTATCTACTTGTAGCAGTTCATATACTAATGCAAACCCAGATTATGATTGAAATGTCACTATAGCTTCTGCATGAAATGTGAAACATTTTGGAAAAAAGATGCAGAGAGGATGTTTCATCAATTCTTGAGCTATAAGTTTATCAAACTTAGATTCAGATTGTTCATTTCTCTGTCAAATTCACAATCCTAATAAAGAAGTCAAAGGGACATTATGTTGAAACAAAAATATATTTCTTTGTGTAAATTTTGAGTTAGAGTCAATTTTAAATATACATTCTAAGTGTATATCCTGCAGAAAATTTCTAGAATGAAAACTGCCACAAAATTCACATCACTATATACTCTCTGCTTTGAGAGCTGTTATGACACTTATTGCTATGCAGTTTAGAAGGTACCATCTGATTAAAACTTTCTGTTTTACTTTCATTGTTATTGTATTCATTGTTATCAAGTTATTGTAGATATATATATATATATCTACAATAACTTGATAACAATGAATACAATAACAATGAAAGTAAAACAGAAAGTTTTAATCAGATGGTACCTTCTAAACTGCATAGCAATAAGTGTCATAACAGCTCTCAAAGCAGAGAGTATATAGTGATGTGAATTTTGTGGCAGTTTTCATTCTAGAAATTTTCTGCAGGATATACACTTAGAATGTATATTTAAAATTGACTCTAACTCAAAATTTACACAAAGAANAAATTACAGTATAACTGCCTATCTTATAATAATTGGTGGCAGATGGCAATTAGCTTTCCCTTGCTTTGTTTCAACTGTCAGTATAGAGCTGCCTTTTAACTTTGTATTTTAATTCTTATTTTCTTTTTTCAGTCTAACTTGTAACTTAGATTAGGGACTCTTAGCTTGGTTTCCAGTTAGGTTATGATAGGTTAGGTTAAATTATATTAGGGTTTGTTAGCTTTAGTCATCTGGTTAGGTTTGTCCTAAGGTATGGTAGGTTAGTTAGTAAGTTAATGTTTGAAAAAAAAAATTTGGGGTCTTGCTCGTTTGTCTCTGTCAGTCCATTTGTCTTGTCTAGTTTGTCATATATTCGTTTGCTTTTTGCACTGTCTATCTACCTCATAAAGCAAACTCTGCTGCTGCCCCGCCTAATGGCACCACAGGATTAAAGAGACTATGCCTTAATCTATAGGTCAAGGCCTGACACCAAAGGATATACTTGAACTATGGTTGGACTGTTCAGGACTTCTTTCGGACTCCCATCTGCTCTCTACATCCAACTCTCTAACTTGGCATAACTTTTATTTGTTTGTGTAGCCTGTTCTGCACTTCATAAGCTTTCTGTTCCCTTGTTTTGCTCATATGTAATAACTATTATCAGACAGCAAGGTCCCCTCCCTACAAGAAGGGGGACCCATCTCAATGCATCCACTAAGTTTATAGATCAAGAAGATTTATGACTTTTTCCATCAATTCCTTTAGTTTCTTTAAGTTTCCTTTACTAGCTGCTTGCGTTCGAAGTACTTGTTCAGGCAGCTTTGACCAGTCAACTTCGTCAGCCCCTTGGTAGTAGTAGATGTAGTAGGATCCACTGGAACGCCCCCTCCAGGGCCATCAGTTCCGCCTGGAACACAGACGCTTCCTCGTTCAGTCTGACTGCCTGCCAGTACACTTGCACTCCGTCAGAGAAGACGCAGTACGCAGCACCTACTAAGATACCGTCTTTAGAGCCATCAGTGTATATTTCAATACCACTTCCTGTCGGTTCACCAACATTCCAGTCAAGTCCTATCCTATGTGCTGCATGGACCTTTAGTAAGTCTATCTGACATCTAAGTCTGGCTGGGTACATCTGATTACAATGCATGGCTCTATACCTTCCAATGTTGACAGAGGCAGCAGAAGCAGCCGAGAAGACCAGGGCCACCTCCATCAACACAGCTCTGTACGCTCTCATGATCTGTAGGCAGCGGGTCTCTGGATCGTGAGCAGCATCCTGCTTTGCTTGACTTTGGTGAAATCTTTCCACCATACAGTGCAGACATAGTAGATAACATGCTCCACGCTCATCTTGTAGATGGCATGAAGCGCTTCTCCATTAAGACCATAATCTTGTCTGGCCAGTCTCAATAGTGCCGCTATCGTGAGGTTTGTCCTCTCTCGGAGACTCCTCAGATGGGGCAGTGTCTGGTCGATGATAACACAGAGGTACTTTAACTCATTCACCCTTTGGATGGTGTTACCCTGGATCCGGTATATTGGTTGGCATGCCAACACTCCAGTCTTGGTCACCATCAGGGCCTCTGATTTCTCAGGGCTGAAGGAAAGCTTATGCAGTTCTCCCCAGCGAACGAGCCGTTCTATTGCTTTGCTGCCGCAAACCTCCATTTCGTGTCGACTGTAGTCTGCAACTACTAGCAACAGATCGTCTGCATAAGCCTGCAGCAGGACGTCGTCCGGGAGTACTAGTTGCAGCACCATGTCTGCTAGAACGTTCCACAATAGAGGCCATATATAGGACCCTTGTGAGCAGCCCCTTTCCAGTATCCTCTCATACCTTTTGCTTGGCATGTCAAACTACTGTGTGGTCAACTCAGAAAACTCCTGGAAAGTGATACAAGGGTAGTCAGCAGGTTCGCCTTCCACAGTTCACCCATTATGGATGGCCACCAAACATTGTCGAAAGCACCCACGACGGCCATCAAAACGAGCGACGTGTGGAGGCCCTGCTGCAGGTTAGGTATTAACAGTGGTGTGGCGGTTCTTGAGTCACCACCACACCACTGTTAATACCTAACCTATGCATTTATTACACTTGTTCTATTAGTTTTGAGTTGACTTTTGTGTATTAAAATTAAATTGTCATCACCAAATATTGAAAAATTATTAGCTAATAAGCCCCTTCATAGGTCACATTGATGTATTTTTTATTAGATATTATTAAAACATGTGCAACTTAAAGCTTTGTTTGATTCAAATACCTATCCATTTATAGAAGAATCATGAGTGTAAGCAAGTATGATTCATTAGCTGGCCTGCCAGCTGACATGTAATTGAAACTATAGCCCACCTCCAAAATGAATTGGTCAGCCCTGATCTAGAACTTTCCCCAGTACCGGCAATAGGCTGTTCAGTCTGTAGGACTTAGGTTCGTTCTTCGGGTGCCTACTCTTATAAACGAACACAAGACACACCCGCTTCCACTGCACTGGGAAGTGACACAGGAATAGACACTTCTAATACAAAACACAGAGCAGGTCAGGACATTCCTGTTGCAGAACTTGTACCATTTTGGCCATGATCCCATCAATGCCAGATGCTTTCCCTTTTCTAAGGTTGCCAATGGCATGGGCTACCTCAGAGTCATTCACCGGCATGGGCATCTCAACCTCAAGAACAGGCAACTCCATGTCACTTTAAAGCTGCCTCTGTTCTTTGGTTTCATTGGACTGCTCATCACACAGAAAGTGAGAGTGGAGTATCACCTCAATCGACTCCTGTGTGGAGGTTAGTGTTCCATCGGGTCTTTTGATAGACCCCAAGACCATATTATGCTTTAACTTGTCCACCACTAGCTTGTAGGGCAGACAAAACGGGCTCTCATCACTAATTTTCTGACAGAAACTGAGCCATGAGGTCTTTTTAGCATTGTTCAATTTGTACTTGTACTCGGCATTGGCCCTCTAGAACTTCAGTTTCCTGGTTGCCCAAAGGTCATCATCTCTGCACCATTGAAAGTGTCACTGGAGCACCCTTGTGCGCTTCCTCAGGACACTCAGTTCTTGGGTTCACCAAGGAACTGACCAGTGGTTGCTGGGCTGCCATTGTGTGAGCATGCAGTCTCCTGCTTCTCTGACCACTTCAGTGTGGTTAGCCATGGCTTCCTCAACATTCTCAACCTTACAGACTTGCGTGACTATGTCGGCCGTCTTTTCTACAAGGCATTTGGTAAATCGACTTCAGTTTCCGGCAGTCAGTCTGTAGCAATTCCTCGGCCAGTCCGCGGGCTACACATCACCTCAAAGGCAATAAAGTGATGGTCACTACAGCTTTCTGCATCGATAACTTCCCACTGCAAGGTCAATCCAGCTCTTGCCCAATGGAGAGGAGTAGGTAGCAATCTCAAACAAATTGTTCAGGAAGTGCATCCCCCAACTCTCCGCCGCATCCTTCATCGCGTTCCCATCTAGGTCGTCTATTGGGGAGTCCCACAGCAAGTGTTTGGCATTAAAATCACCAGCCAAAACAACCCAAGCATGAAGCAAGACAACCTTTGAGTTCACTCAGGCCTCCCAGTTTTAATGACAGCAGGCAATAACTGGAGACTTGCAACTTGGGGGTGGACGACCATATTTCTACGGCCACCACGAGTTGCAAGACGTGGATGGCATACGCATCGACATTCCTCCATGTAAAGACAACTGCGGTCCGACATTTGTCACTTTCTCGGGCAAATACGCTCCATTATAGTGATAGGCCATTGACCTTTCCTTATACTAGGTATGGTTCTTGGAGCAGGATGATGTCAATATCTCACTGGGCCACTTCCACCCTTAGTTGGGTGGTTGTGGCACAGCACGGCACTTCACGGTGTTAAACTGCATTACTTTGCAGCCACACCTGTCATCTGTCTACTGTGCGTAAGAAGATGCAGAATTGAATGCAAGAGTGTTATCCCTGTTTACTGACTAATCAGTCCTAGCCTGAACTTTTTTGAGTTCCCACACATAGCACAAACAGCTGGCATTCATTGCTGAATGACTGGTACCCAACTGTAGGCCAAACTTGATTTGCCCTTGTGCGTTTAATGCACTTGGACATAGTGGCCTTACACTCCTTGTAGGAGTGGCCCTCGGCACACTTGCTACAGGCTTGAGCTGCCACCGAACAGCTCTTCGCTACATGGTTGAAATTATCACCTGTAGCACTGGGTAACCGCAGTATATACCTACTGGTCTCAAGTCCACCCAATGTGTAGTTTTCCTCTCTTGAGGAACTTGTGGTAGACCTTTGTGGAGGTCTCAAGCACCCAATTAACGAGGCCTCCCTTTCCCTTTAGAGGGAAACAAAGTTGGAATTGCCCAAGCTCCACATCAACACTATTTTGACCAATGATGATCTCCACGAGGGACTCTTCCTCGATGTCCGTACTGACATGGAACAAAATTACCCTTTAGCTGGCGCTTTTGGGGCAGTCTGCAACTAACCGCCTCTCGCAACGCCGGTGGGCCCTCCAACATTTCCTTCTGAAGTTTCACAACATCCTGGTGCTTTGCAACCTCTAACAGGATGCCATTGTTTCTAATTCTGCAAACATTCTTTATCCCAATACCTAACTTGGTTGGGTTAATGTTCATCTTTAGTAGTTCTCGTGTACGATCACTATTCATTATCTTTAGGGTAAACCAAGAGTGTGTTCTCTGTGGATAGAACCCTTTTAGGTCGGCAGCAGCCCGTGGCCCCTCTGGATATGCTTCAGGGCAACTTGGGCAGGAACAGTGGCATAGGATGCACCACCTGCTTTGGCTGCCTTGCTGTTTTTTCCTGCCTCTGAAAGTGTTTTGGGTAATTGACATCCACCCACAACCTCTCTCTCAAGGTCTTGTTCTCTGCCCGGAGGGAGGCAATCTTGACCTCCTGGGCATTTAATATAGCGGCAACCTTACTAAAAAGGTTTTAGATAACAGCATAGGTGGCCTTATGACACTGGCTGTCAGTGCGTGCGACAAGCTTTTTCAGCTCATTGTGCATGCCATCAAGTGCTGCTCTCCACTTCTCAACTGTCTCAAGTCTCTCCTGTGTTGCCACAGGTGCCAACAATCAGTTGATGGACCTGATGTAAGTAATAAATCAGAAATTTCTAGAAGTGAAGAATGTCATAACAGGACAGAAACAGATTTTAATTCAGAAGTTTCTGGAAGCAAAACATCATTATGTTCTATACTTTTGAACACAAATAAAAGTATCAAATTTATTTACTGTTAAAGATATACCTGTATCAAGAGATGATTATTTAAAGAAAACTGAAGATGAAATTCAGTTTTATATGATAACAATGAAGACAAATGTCAAATTTGTGAATGAGACATAAAAATATAATATATAAAAATATAAAAATAACATTTGATAAAATTGTTGGTTTAGACCATCAGATTAGTCTGCCGAAAGAACTGATATATCTGATAATATGCTCAAGATATTTCAGATTAAAAGGTGTGCGGTTGCCAGAAGGAATTTTTCTTCATGGTCCATCTGCAACAGGCAAAACAATGATAGGAAATGCAATTCCTAATGAATATCAAGTTCATTTTATTTTAATTAATGGTGATGAGATATCTAGCAGTGAAGCCAAACAGAGAGATCTTTTCTGAAGCTAAAAGAAGAGCACCAAGTATTATATTTATTGATGAATTTGATGTTCTTTGCCCAAAATATCAAGATTCTTCTCAACAAATCGAAAGGAGAGTACTTGCAACATTGTCGACATTAATGGATAGTTTATCTTATGATGACACAGCAGACGTTTTTGTTATTGGTGCAACAAGCAAACCCAATTTAATAGATGAGTCATTAAGAAGACCAAAAAGATTGGATAAAAAAATAGAGACTGGTTATCCTAATAAAGAAAGGTTTGAGATACTTAAAAAATTATTAGAAGATAAGAAACATTCCTTAACAGAAGAAAATATGAATGAAATTGCTGAAAAACTTCATCGATACACTGGAGCAGATTTAAATTACTTGTGTAGAAATGTTTCTTTTATGGTAAAGAAAAAGCAATCAAATGATCTGGTTATGTCGTTAAGTCATTTTAATTCGACAATAAAAGATGAAACCAAGTGCTTTGAAGGGAATGGGAATTCAGATTTCAAAGGTTTATTGGCAAGATATTGGTGGTATGCATGAAGTAAAACAAAAATTGAAAGAAGCAATAGAATGGCCAGTGAAGCATCCTGAAATATTTCAAAAAAATAGATCCATAGCCTCAAGTTCCAACATAGCTGCATTAATTTTGGAGAACACACCAGCTAACCCATGTACCGTGAATTTCTTTATTTACTTCTTCAGTTCTTTCATCGTCTTCCTCTTCCAAATACTGCATCGCTTCTACTCTATTAAATCTTCATTTGTTAGCTCTCCATTGGCATAATCCACTGATTCAGCAGTGTCTTTCACTTCAACATCTAAATTAAGTGCATTGGCAAGGCCTGCAATTGTTTAAGTTACATCAAACTGACTAACAGTCCATAACAAGTCAGTGAGCATGTTACCAATCGCCACTGATTGACACTCAAGCTGAGAAAGGGGATTTTCCGAATTGCAGGCCAAAACTCAATTGGTTGTAAGTGTGAGTGGTCGTTAAGCAGATAGGTCGTAAAGTGAGGAGTATCTGTACAGTGAAACCTCGCTTAATGAGCACTTCACATAATGAGTAAGTCACATAACGAGCAAAACAAATTTGTAAAAAATGACTCGTTTAACGAGTGACAAGAAGGGATGTCCCGGATTGTGCGCACGCTCCATCAGTCTGTGTTTAGTACTCATTCTGCTAGCATCTTAGTGTCGCTTGTGATCACACATTTTTCCAAACTTGTGTTCACACATATTACATATAAACATCAATAATCGCAGCCCGTTATATAATAAACATGCCAAACAATATGCCAAATTCTTGGGCTATGTAAAGGCTATAATTAAATATTAGAAATTATTAATTTGACTAAAGGTAGGCAGTTATGCTACCATCTCATTAAATTTAATGATCAATTCCAGAAATGCCTAAATTAAAAATTATTTATAATCATTAAATTTAATATGAGATGGCAGCATAAGTGACTACCTCTAGTCAAATTATTTCATTTTTAATATTTAATTAAAGCCTTTACATAGCCCAAGAATTTGGCATATCATTTGGAGTGTTTATCAGACATTATATATGTGATTTTTTATTTATTTATTTTCTGCAAATCAAATTTGCATTTCAGGTTGGTTCATTCCATGCCAGAAGAAATGATGATGATTCATGCTCCTTAACAATGTATATTGTATAATTTTCTTTAAATAAACATTATACATAAAATATTTGAGAATTTTTTCAGCATGGAACACATTGTATTTTACATTAATTTATATGGAAAAAATTGCTTCACTTAACAAGTGTTTCACATTACCAGTAAGATTCTAGAATGAATTATGCTCGTTAAGTGAGGTTCCACTGTACTTGTAAATTAGGGTTACATTACAAATATTTATAAAATATTTATAGTGTAATCCTAATAGAATTAACTGATGAATCATATATATATTTATATATATATATACATATATATAATCTTTTAAATTATTGTCTTACCTGTAAGATCATCTTTCTATGCTATTACCATTTTCTATAAAATCTGTATTTATTACTTGTTCTTTACTGTCTTCAGTTACTTGAACACTGAAAAGTTATCATTTCGATTACTTTTTTTAGAAAATTAAAATTTTATATTTATTTAATGATAAAAAAATAAGTAAAAAATAGTTGATTTAAAATTTTTAAAAATATTTATAAACTATTCTGATTTTTTATTTTGTTATTTTAAAGTCATTCAAAATATTTTGTTCAAATACGGATTACTTCTACAAATATTCTGAAGAACTTCTGATAAATTGAATTTTCTGTAAAGTCTACATTTTAAACAATATTTTTTTCAATTATTCATTATGTTAACTTCAAACAAATCACTATAGAATTTTAAAGAGTTGATCTATTTATTTCTGATTAAACATGTGTTGAGACTTTTGTTGCAAAATAAACTAAAATTATTTTGATAACATGTAACAAATTAAAACATTAGTGTCTGAATACATGTCATTGAAAAAACTTTTTAGGTTGTTCTGCATTTGAATTTGTTGTTGTTTATGAGTGTTTAAGTTTGATATGATGACAAAACAAATCACAGTCTCAAAAAACATTTAATTTAGAAATAAACAGGTTGACTCCATAAATTTTTATAGTGATGGTTTGAATTTAACATTGATGGAGTAGATATAAAGAAAGTGTCATTAATTAATTTAATTTACATTTTTTTAAAATGCAAAGGTGTCCAAGAATTATTCATCACATTATAAATGTTCATAAAAACCAGTAGAGATAAAAAGAAACAAATTGCTACAGCTTATAGAGCAACTCAGTTTTTTTTTTTTTTTTCAGAATGGCAATATTGGCATTCCCAGCATTCATTGTGAAAAAAAATAAAACAAGCAGAAAATGTAATGTGCATGCTTTGGTTATGGAAAACCATGAGTCCAATGAGTGTAATGAGGTATTTTAGGCATAAATTTAATGAAAAACGTTCAAGAAAACAACCACCAAAATGACAACAGCAGCAATTCCAGACAACAGAAACCATTTAATATTTTACAGTTTAAAGTTTTACATATTAAAGCTGATAAAAAGCATCTAAAGAAAGGTTGCTACTACTGTGAGACTTATTTCCTGAGGTATGTAGAAAGGACAAGGTGTAAAGACATTTTTAATGTATTAACTTTTTTGGAATTTTTTAATACATTTTCTAAATGTAAACAGGAACAGTACATCACTAAACAGATGAAATAGACCAAAAACTTCAATTAAAAAGGTCCACAGCATTCAGACATTTCAGCAGTCTTCAAAAATCTGTCCATCATCCAAGTCTGGAACTACAGATTCCAAGATCTATGATCCATCTCAGGATGCATAAGAGGCTGAAGCTGCATGCATACAAACTGAAGTTTGTTCAGGAGCTCCTGCCAGATGAAAAGCTGAAGTAAATAGCATTTACTGTCACCATGTTGTCCATCACAGAAGAGGACAACCACATCAGAGATAAATTGGTTTGCAGTGATGAAGCCACTTGACATGTATTGGGTAAAGTTAACTGACATAATTTCTGCATCTGGAATTCAGAGAACTCTCATGTCTTCCAGGAACACAAACATGATATCATTGAATTCAATGTGTTGCATGCATTGATTGTGAAATAGGGTTATTTGCCCATTTTCTTCACTAAAAACATGATTGATGTGGTGATTGATTCCAACTACCTAGAACGTTGGAACTGTTTTGTGTTCTGAAATTGAAAAAAATACAACCAGTTGTCATCTTTCAGCAAGATGGGGCACAATAGATGTCTGGAGTTATCTTAATGCAGCCTTCCCTAATCAATGGATAGGCTGAGAAGGTCCAATCACTTGGTCTCCTCATTCACCATATCTGATGTTCTTGGATATTTTCCTGTGGGAGTACAGCAAGAATAGTGTGTGTACACAAAGAAGGTGTCCAACATGGAAGAACTTAAAACATATCCTGTCACCATCACAGTTAACATGTAGTGTGTTTTAGTAGACTGGACATGGTTCTCACCACTAATGGTACCCATGTTTAGGTATTTCGAACTTAATGTGAAAATAAAAATTTTTTAAAGTTGTCTATAAGCTTCAACAATCATTTTCTTTTTATCTCATATCTAGTTTATATTTTATGAAGTTTTTTAATGAGATGAATAATTCTGAGACACCCTGTGTTTTCCAAGTATGTCTAATGTTGTATTTTAGAATCAGGATTCAAAACATTTAACAAATAAATAGCATAATTTTATGTAATATCTGATTAATTTCTGCTATAAATATTTAAAATAATGTAATAAAATTGAATCGTTAGACCCATAATATACAAATCAATTGATAAAGTATAAATATAAATTTTAATCATCATAAACACTTTAAAATGGAAAAGAATAGCTGATCTAATTTTAAATCTTTGTTGATAAACATATGCAGCTGGAACATTAATCTAGTAAGATTAATGTTCCAACTGCATCTAATTGTAAAGCAATTCAAACATCTGGTGTTAGTGGACCATTCTACTGTACTCAGAAAATAGGGGTTAAAGTTCAAAGATACCCACCTCTTTAAATGGATGCAGTCCCATGCAAACACATGTGCTGGTTAACATATCAAGGAGTACATACCTGACTAGGTTCAGCTACTTTGTGATAAATTTGTTTTTGTTTTTACTCTTTTGGTGCCAAAAATATTTTCTAATTTTTAAAATAATCTTCAACAGGAAAATAATTATGAATTTCTTTTAGCTTTGTTTTGTTTAACCACTCTGATATACTTCTCCATACTTAAACATCCAATATCATATCCTCCTTGTTTGTTGATTTGAAAAATCATTTAGAATTTGTTTTTTTTTGTTAATAAATTCAATTTTATTTAACTTTATTTAGTAAATGAATTCAAAGCACTGTACACTGTATTACATTTTAGAGATTTCAATTGTCTGTTAAGCTTTAATGCCTTAAATTATATGACTTGGCCCTAAAATTCATTAACAACACCTTTTGATAAAGCAAACTAACTACTGTTTCCTTAGAGATTTGTATTAATGCAACTACTGTATTAAGAATCAAAATGTTTTAATCTTAATAATAAAGAATTTTTGTGAAGATAGGTGGTCCTCAAGCATATGTATATATATATAAAGCATTACATGTCAGTTTAAAAAACTGAAATTTTTATAAAAGTTTTACATTTTTTATTTTGGAAACAACAGTTTGTATTCATATAATCTGTCTTTAATTAATATAACACTAAAGCAAAAAATAATACATTCATAATTATTTATGCATTTCTACATATTCCTTGAAAATTCAAATCACTGACTAAAAACTTGATTAGAAGTCCATTTAATTCAATCAAACAATTCTACAAATAATTTAGTTAATAATATACNAACAACATTTTTGGCACAAAGAAATGAGCACGAGAGATCCAAATTTGTATCTACCTATTTCCTGAAAACAAACAAATCAACAAAGATATAGCCTAAGTGAAAATATTGTTTTCTATCATAAAAGTAGAATCAGATCCAAAAAACTGCACAAAAACTTTGTTTTCTATACGTTTGTAGATTCCTGACTCACAGGGCTTTGGTGCTATAGAATCTTTTTTCTAAGACAAGGATTCAATACATCATTGAATATATTAAGTGATAATGAGTTCACTGAGAGTAAGATTTTTAGCAAGTTTTTTATTATATTGTAATCATTAATATTAATCTGAACTATCATGTAAAGTTCAATTTAATTGTTGTTTTTAGAAAAATGATTAATTAATAAACAAAAATAATAATGAAATCAATAATTGTATTTATAACTTTTATAAATTAAATTAACTGATCATAACTGTATTTGAATTTGTAACATACTAAAAATGGATAATTTATATACATCACATCTAAATTATTATACATATTATTAAATATTAAATCAAAATTCATAAAAGTTGACAATTTAAATTTATTTATGATAAATTAATGTAATAATATATAATTTAATTTCTTTAAGTTTATAAATTTTCTAAGTGAATTTACATAGATTAGAGAGAATTACCTTGTAAAATCCCATTCTAAATCATTTCCATTAGAGACTGGAGTAGATGGATGAGAATGATTACTACTATTTTCACTCAATACAAACCAAGTGAGATCATCAGTTGTGGGAATAAGATAATGAGGTGGTGGTGTAAGTCCTGCAAATTCAATGTAAATACAGTATTAGTTGTTTCAATAATCTGATTATATACAGTACAGTTTTAGTTTAAAAATTTCAAGATTATAAAAGAGTAGAAATTTAAAATTTTTAAATATTGAAAATATCCAAAAACTATGGTTATATCTTAATATTTTTCACAGTGCAATATTAGATGTATTAATTAAGATACAGTGAGATGAGTTTATCTAGAGTATTAATCAATGAACTTAAAAACAATTAAATAAAACTGAATTAAAAACATTTTAAATGTGCTAAGGATATTGATAAGCAATATGATGTATTGATATACCTTGTATACTGAAGATAAAAGAATGTAATTCATTATATAAAAATTTTGAGAAAAATTAATGGTTCTCAGAAAATTTTTGTTTTGAGATATCTCATGATAAATAGGACTACATTCACAAGGATTTTATGTAACATCCAGTTTTGAAGTATGTTCCTTGATTTTTTTTAATATTTTAACATCTACCTTGAAGCATATTAAGTGGATTAATCCTAAAAAGCCTGGACAATGTCCAAGAGAAATGCTTGAATCTTATCAGTAATTATTATTGATCTAACCAAAATTAAATGGATTATTGGAACTTTTGATATTTTAAAATCAGCTGAATCCTACTGAAATTATTTCAAGACATTTGAAGTTTAAAAGTGACATTCTACTTTCTGCAATAGTTATTATGATCTATACTTTGCCTTTGACTATATATGTATTCACTCTTGTATTTATTTTGAATTTATAGTTTTTCATATGTTTTATTGTTATTTATATTTCTGTTTAGTGTCATATTAATCATTCTTGAGAATTCACTGAAAATTTTGCTAGGTTTTCCTTCATTTAGACTCTTACAGTGCAGAAATTAAAAGCCTTTTACAAATGTAATAAAAAATTATACTTTGGACTTAAAGTTAGATCACAATGATTTCTAATGAGGAATGATATGAAAGATGAAAGACACTTTTTACATTTCTATATTAAAATTATATTGAAAAATGCTCAAAAATTCTCAAGTTTATTTTTATAATTAAATTAATTCATTTCTAGTAAAGGTAAAATTTTGCCTAAGATTTAACCTGGTTTAAGAATGGGTTTAAAACTGATACATTTTAAACCTATTTCTTAAATCAGTTTTAAACCCATTAATGAGGAATGTTTGTGTAAAGTTCATGTATAACATTCAGTTTTTCCATTATTTTCTAACATAAATGTTTGCATTATATGGGATGACTTGACATTCTAGTAAGTCCACATGTATGTATTATTTCTAATAGTAAAGTTGCATTAAACATATCTGATTTTGTCAGTTTAATTTTGAGTTCATATGGAAGTGCTTTATATATCTCCAAGTTGGTTGATTTGTAACACAGTTTTTATTGGAGTACCAAAATATGAAAGCTTTGAGAACATTTCTTACTCTGGTCTTAATTAAACAGGATAATTTTATTTAGTTGAAGATTACCAGTATTATAGGAAAACTAGATCAAATACAAATATCTAAAATAATGTTTAATACTTATTAAGTTTCATAGAGCAATGCAAAAACTTAAATATATCTAGTAATTATGCAAATTAAATTCTTACCAGCTTCATTTTCCCATTCCAAATCAAGAGAAGAACCAGGTGTTCCATTTCCAGCAGGAAGTTTTTCCCACTTTTGACTTCCAGTAATACTACTACTATCTCCTACAGAACTATCACCTAATATAAATTACAAATTTATACAAAAATAATTTAAATTAAATCAATACCATATTTTCATTTTTAACAACTCACATGTGAGAAGTGGTACTGCTGCTTCCATTTGAGATGCTTCTCCATGAGAACTAAATTGACTTCTATTTCTAAAATAAATTAAACTTATTTTAACCAAAACATTCTATTATAATTATAAATCATTTATTGTTCTTAATTAATTAAACAGGATATTGATATGGAATCCAATTCCTCTCAATCAAAAAAATGCATCATCATATTCAATAAATAAATTTAGATATTTAACATCATGGGATGCCATAGGAAATATTGACTTTGCTTGGCAAGAATTAACTGATAAATTACGAACAAAGTGTGGAAGAAGTTATGGCTGAAGGTATTCAAGAATTCTCAATGAGAAGAGCCTATCACTGTATAGTTAGGTTGACCAAACTCAACCTAATCGATATAGCAGGACTAGGAGATGTAGACAAGCAGGATATCGAGGAGTTACAAATTTCTGGGGAGAGCCTTACTAATGACGACCTTCAAGAACTAGCAGAACATGGAATTCCTGTGGAACTGGAAAAATAGAGATTCTGAAAATAAAGAACCCAAAAAATTTCTCTACAGATTTCCTTAGTAAAAATTTGGTAAGATAACCGAAATCGTTGATCAAATTGTAGTGAATGATCCAGATTTTGAAAGGAGTGCAAAAGCAAAATGAGGCGTTTTGGATGCAATCTTCTGCTACCAACATTTGCTTAAAGAAAAAAAAAAGCGGCAAATGAAACTTCACGACTTTATTGCAAAAGAACAAGAATTTCAGAAAAGTCAGGATCTTCATCACAAAAAATGAACTTTACATTTCTGTGTGCATATGTTTGTGTTATTTAACATGTATTATTATACAAATTAATATAAAAATAAAATTAAAGTAAAATTTGTTTATTTTTGGTTGCATGTTTCCCTATCCTTATCTACTCTATGTTAAAATGACCTTGTTTAACACGTTTCACTTAGCGCTTTGTTGTCTAGAATGCATCCCCCGCAATTAAGCAGGGTTTTACTGTACTGTATTTTCATGCATACAAGCAACATGTAATTTGTATTCAAAAGACAATTCAAAAAGGGATACAAATTATGCAATGAGGTGAATTATATGCAAATGTAAATTGCAATCATGAGCTTCAATTTATGAAACAATTGTTGCTCCATAGTCATGTGGTATATGGTAGGTGCAAAGGTTATGGAACGATTTTATTTTCATTCTAACAGTTTTATATGAGGTATGTGCCATTATATGAATTATACAAACAAAAAATATAGTATATGAAGTTATAATACATCAATAATTCCAATCTATTTTAAAAGATGGTTTTTATCTAGAGTAATTAAGAATGATTTTATCAAGACAATAGCATCAATCTTAGAAGACTGCTCCAAACTAAGTTTTCATTATATGGACATACGATTGTAAATGAAAACATTGAAACATCACTTTTGTATTCTCTATATTAGGCATTTTACTTTTATATTGCTAATGTACAAATATATAAATATATTTTAATTGTTATAATCATTCCAACAAAAATTTATAATATTCTATTGGCTTTCATAAATAAATACCATATATATCAGTAAAATTCTTTAAAAATGGTGCATATTAGTTTGATCATTCCAATAAAAACTAAAAAAAAACTCAATAAAAATTGTTATTAGTTTCTATTAGTTTAAACATTCTCATTTATTGGTTTTAATTGATTCTTTACATCCCACTAAAAAGCAACTTATTTGAATTTTCTATTAGTGTTTATTGATTCCTATTATTTTTTAAACAAGGTAGTTTGATAATAAACAACAACAAAGATTAAATTAGAAACTGCAATAGATGAAAATCAGATTAGAAAAACATGTTAAGAATTGAGTTACATTAATAATATTCATCAATTTAGTAATATTAATAAAAGTTTTTTTTTCAACAGGGTTGGTTGTTCTATATACTGTATATAATTAAAAAAGAATTTTATGAGAAAAATCTTTCAAGCTAAACTACTCTCTAATCTCTCCAAATTCTAAAGGATTAAAATACTAATGTTAAAGTTCTCAACAAAAAATTTTTATTTAGATTAAGACTTTAAAATGTAATTTCCAAATGCATTTCACCTCAAAACTCATTGAGGCCTCTTCAGTAGAAAATATGTTGAAAATTTTAACAGCACACTATTTTAATCCTTGGAAGTTGGTAACAGATTGAACAGTTTAGCTTGAGAAGGATTTTTCTTGTAAAAATCTTTTTTAATTACATAAATTCATCAATTATTGAAAAATAAATAAATAAAAATTTAAAGATTAATAAATTGATTTAAAAATTATTTTTTTTTTCTAGTAATAATTAAACAACACTAGTATGAGAAATTTTAATTCACAATCTTTTTCAAAAACTTCAATACATTGAAGTCATCAGAGTACTTAATATATTTGGTACAGACCAAACCTTCATGACTGAAAATTTGGCATTAGTTCAAACAGTTGAAAACTTGGCAATTGAATCTATCATAAAATGATTCAAGGTCATTAGTACAATTGTTATAAAATTTGGTGACCTGCATTTTATATTGGGCAACTAGGAAACTATTTCAGTTTCCTTTGTCTTTTAGTCATTTAAGGTCAAGATCACTACCATGGCCTTTAAAGTTTAAGTTCATAATTAAGTTTTGTATATAAGTTGTTTCAAATTATTAACCAAACATTTTTCTTGTTTATTTTTCAGCTTACTTATTTTTGTTCAAGGAGCCACAATGTAATACTTAATATTTAATTTAAGTATAATTTGTCTTAAATAAAACTGAGAACATTTTCAGTGTAAAATAACTCAAAATTTTAAAAAACAACAAATTATTTACTTTTTTCTCCATAAAATGACCTTTTTGTCACCCATTTTCTGGAAGCATCAATAAAACATTTTAAAATTTCTTTTTAAGCTGTGTAAATTCAATCTATAAATGACAATGTTTTATCAAAATAAAATGAATGATACTCTTTTCAATAATTTTATCAATATTAATAGATTATCGATTTTAAATATGTAAACAGTATCAAAATATATTTTTGCACATATCTGATTATGGATTATTAATAAATCTTAAAAATTAGTGTAAATATCATTGTTGAACTGGTTCACAAGATTTAAATAAGTATTCTTATTAATCCTGGATAGATTATATAAATATATAAATAAATATAATAAAATATTCTTTTATATTTTATATAATATATTATATAAAAATATTAATGCATTAAAATGATATATTTTTATTCTTACAAATCAAAATCTTTCAGAAAATATCTGATAAATAAAATATTTTTACTTATATATCCTCCTCAGACTCGAGAATTAAAAAATGTGTTTTTTAATCAATTTCTTTTAAAATTACAATATTTGTATTATAAAAAGTCCATTTATGAAGTCAACATCAACCTTTGACCCTTGGTGTTTTTTAAATAGTAAAATAAATAAGAAGTAAAAAACAATGTTGCCAGATGCCTGACGATGAAAAGTGAAAACTACACTATAAAGGATTCCTGGTTTGACCTCGATAAAATGAACAGAAAAATATTAAACAAATAAAAACAAACATCCATTTTAATGGATGAGAGGTCGGAGGAGGATATAGTATTTATAATTCAGCAGTTAAGAACCAGTCAGATGGTTAAAGCAGTAGATTGAAGACACCATCCTACTACTCTGGGAAACCCAAGATCAAATCTGGCAACCAACCCTAGGAATTTTTCACAGGCAATCTGTCTCAGATATATTGGGCATGCTCTTTCATTACCTGACCAACCACCATCATGGGTTGGTCAGGTAATGAGAGTAATGAGGTCACACCATGGGTTTGAAACAAAATCTTTTAATCCTACCCAGGATTAAAAGTAGGATTAAAAGAATTTTGTTTCAAAAAAGCAGACAGAGTCAAAAAGAAACAAAATTCAGTCAGTAAAGACTGAAGAATTAATTTTTTACTTGCTATAATTTCATATATAACCTGCAGAAAATTGTTAGAACAGAAATAAAACCTTTGCATAACTCACCCTATTGTATATTTCAGACCTCTACAGCAGACAAAGAATGACAATTACCAATAAGTAGTTAAGAAGATATCATTTCTAACATTGAATTGTTGTTTTTCTATTTATTTTCATTGTAACTGAACTTCACTACATATAATTATAACATGAATAAAACAAAAATATGGAATACTGAGAGGAACCTCCTAAACTTCATGTGTATGATACAAAAGTCTATTGAAAAACATTTTATCATATTTAATTTGTTTTTATTTATCATTTAATAATAATTATAATTACAAATGCTAAATAAATTCAAAAAATTAAAACAAAATAATTTTAATGTGGATAATATCTAATGACACAAATTGAAGAGTCAATCACTCAGCTTTTATTCAATGTAGAGAATTCTAAGCTTTGTTCAGAAACCAGTGATTCTCAATCTATTTTAATACAGAGAACCATAAAAACTATACCACCTACTGAGGAACCTCTAACAGTTCATATCCCATTTCCAAAGTTGAGTTACAAGTTTCTGATACTTTTAACCTTATATAGCACTAGAAGATATAAAAGTAAATAAGAAATAAATGAAATACCAGCAATTACTGGTCATACTTGTATATTAACTACACAGTTTAAAAAAGAGCAAATAAATCAAAATTTCATATCATCATCCTTATGTTCAATTCTGTTAACAAAGTAATGGAAATGAATACTGTTGTGTGCAAAACAAAACAAAACATTGTGCAGTCAAGCTAAGGCTACCAGTGTCAATACATATAATTATTTTTGTCATAAAAATTAACTTTATGGCAATGACAAAAACAATGAATTTATAGCTTATTAGAATGACACATTAGCTTTGTAGCTTATCAGAATGACAGTTTGAAAAATATGACATAATAATGTCTGCAAACTGTCAAAGTTCTCTGAAATGACATTATACAGATAAGGAATAATTGCTAGAAATTTTCCAGCTTTCAAGATAAAAATTCAAACATAAGTGTCTAATAATATCAAAGAAAGCATGGATTGAACTTGAAAATGAATGGGAAAGAATGAAAGTAAAATAGATAATATACTGTATGTGTCTTTGGTGGTTTTAGGAAAATCTGCAATGGCAAAAGAATATGTCTGTCACACACACAATTTTTCATATTTTCCAAAGGCATTCTTAGTGACTTCAAAGGAAAAGCTGTTTGATGACTTCATAATTGCAACTTATAAATGATATATAACTTACCACATTGCATAACCTATATAAGCCCTTTCAAATTGCCTTTTAAGCAAAGCACTGGTAAACCATACAAAATTAGTCACAACTGAAAAATATGTTTTATAAAAGAATTTCCTAATTTATATTAAATAACAGTTTCTAAGTTAATGAGTTCACACATAACTCAAAAATCAGCTTTAAGAAATTGGAGATTTCTTTAATTATATAAATAATATATTACTTTAATTTTTTACTATTCAACTCATATTATTAACTTATTAGGAACAAATTACTAACCTCCAATCTTCTGCATCTTTCAACCAGTAAAGATGATTATTCCAAAAAACTAATTTAGCAGAATTTGTGTTTTCATTTGCTTGTGCTGATTGGGCAACTCTTAGTGCTTCTGCTTGAGTTTCTATTACTGCTGGTCTTTCCATTTCCATNCCCCATACTTCAGTATATGTTGCTGCTGATACCTCAAGCTTTCTCTCCTTCAGAAAAATGATTGGTACTCTCCTTTTGAACTACGATCAAGAAAGTATCTACTAACCTCCAATCTTCTGCATCTTTCAACCAGTAAAGATGATTATTCCAAAAAACTAATTTAGCAGAATTTGTGTTTTCATTTGCTTGTGCTGATTGGGCAACTCTTAGTGCTTCTGCTTGAGTTTCTATTACTGCTGGTCTTTCCATTTCCATTGCTTCCCATTGATTACGATTCTAATAAATCATTTGTAGTCAATATTAATAAAACTGAAATTAAGAACTAATTTATTTTAAATAATCAAATTTAAAATTAAATTTTATATCTTCATAATTTTTTTATAATGAACAAAACAAGCAAATTCTTAATATAATATTTTAATAAAATTGCAAATTAAATTTAATAAACTACAACAAACTAATATTGTGCACATTAATTTTCAGTTTTAAGTTAAAAAATGCAAGAATGTAAATTAAAATAATGTTAAAAATGCAAATAAATTTAGATAAATAATTCAAGAAAACTGCTTCATTTTGAAAATAAAAAATTTGTTTTTGTTACTTTGGCTAAATTTTACAATTAACATGATTGTGTGATGTAGTGGCCTAACATAAATCAAAAATATAATGATATTTCAGTGAAATACTTCTGGATTTTCTCTTCTTTAACTAAACTTAAAATTCTAATGCTTACTGAAAAAACATTAACAAAAAAATCTCCAAAATGTTATATTAAAAAATTATAAGCAATACTAAGATACAACAAAAAATGCACATTGTAATGTTCTTTATATTTACAAATTCTCAAACAAACAACATTTTAAATGATAATCAAATAAGTTTTATTAACATGCTAATTTCATGATGTCAATCATACTAGAAATTTATATGTTGTAATTAAAGCAGAATTTTAAAAAATGAATTATACAACTAATAAAAAATTATTTTAAACTTTAGTTTCATAACAGTCAATTTACAATATTCTACATCTGTTTCTCCAATACTAAATAATAAAAACAAAGCCTAAGGTATACTCATTTATACTTTTAATTAAATCATATTTTAAATAGATATTTTCTAACTTGAATTCAAGATTTCTCCAATTAATTTGCACAAACTTATATATATAACATTTGACTTTTAAAATCTANGAATGAAATAGTTTAGTATTTGAATGATCTTAAAACAAACTATAAATCAATTTCATTCATTATCAACTAAAGATTCCACTTTTATAATTTAATTATACACATTTTTTAGGATAACAACTCCATAATATCCACAACAAAAATAATCATTTATAATTTAATTATACATTACTATAGCAACATATAAGTCAAACAATTTTTAAAAATCAATTTTCTGTTTTTTATTGCAATAAATGATAGCTTATCTTTTCAAATTTATTCAAAGATGCATCACAATACTAGCTTTACTGAAATTTAATATATATGAGTGATTTTATATATAAAAAATTTTCAGGCACTTTCAAAAATTTCCTTAAGAATGACTGAAAAATTGGCAAGAATGGATTCAAAATGTCTTTATTCTAATTCAATTTATTTATAATATTTTTGTGTTATATTCTAATAAAGCAACACTGAATGTGTTCTTTGTGAATATAATTGGAACAGTCGCTGAAGAATGCATTTCAAATATTAAGAAAATGTTTCTTATGAATTTTATTCACATATTAGGTACAATAAAATTTGTTCAAAAAAAAATTTTCAAAATAATACAGTACATTACAATATTTAATAAAAATTTATTAAAATTTTTATTATTAAAATTATAAAATTATAATGTAATTTTATAATTTAATAATAAAAAATGTCAAATTTCAAACTTACTGTCAAACTTCAAACTGTCAAAATTCACTTTACTGTCAAAATTCAGAATTTATGATTACTGTCAAAAGTCAATGTGTCAAGAGAATAAAATAAAGTGGTAAATAATTTGAATATAAAATTTGTTTCTATGAAATAAGTCAGAAATTGCTAATAAAACTATTTTATAGTAGATACCCTTTAATTATTAGAGTACTATTCTCATTTCTGTGAGATCTTTCAGGTGTCCAGACAAGCCTTAACACACTTAATTTTATAAAATAAGTTTTTAATTAAATTGTTTATATCATGATAACAGGAACATTGTTCCTGTCAGACCAACATGACATTCTCCACAAGAAATATATAAGCATTTGAATTCAACAAATATCAGTCAATGAGAAATACAAATCATCTAACTTAAAACAATAAGGGTCCTAAGATGAACAAATTTCTCCAATTCAGATCAAATTTAACATTGAATTAAATTGTCAATATCAAATTTTTCCCACAGTATGAGAAAATCTCTAATTCCACCTAGAAACAGTTGAACCAATAGTGTCATGAAAAAAGTACTTGAAAAGTATTTAAAAGACCCAGTGTATAAAAACCCATATCCCAAAAACATTTTGCATAGTTACAGGAAGCAAATAATCCTTTTGTTCAGTTTTCCTGTCCAGTCCACTGTGTTCTCCATTTGCCACCAAACTTCATCAAATACATGTGTGTATTTCTTGGCAGCCTATCTTCAAGTCCCTCCCCATACTTCAGTATATGTTGCTTCTGATACCTCAAGCTTTCTCTCCTTCAGAAAAATGATTGGTACTCTCCTTTTGAACTACGATCAAGAAAGTATCCAAGAACTTTTGTGCATAATTGTACTATTCAAATGATCAGATACTGTAAAAATGTCTCTTTCTCAATAAATGATCTATCTAAAAGTAATGAGTCATCCTTCATCCCAAATGCACTCATCCAGATATGTGATCATTTTCTCACTCATGCTGTTAAGTTACAGTCCCTTTCAGTTCAAAAATCAAAAATTCTACAAACAAACCTTTTGTTTAAATATCTGACTGTGATTAAGATCATGTGACATCATATTTCAATATTATTATATGTTGTAACTGTTTCTATGCTATATGATTAATTGTTCACTGATGTATGCTGAATAGTTGATACTTAACATTCTAAAATATATGTCTTAAGTATTTTACATAAATGTTATTTAATTACACCTAAATTACTTAATTTTAGTTTTAATAAACTTCCTTCTTTAATTTTATACCAAAGGTGGACATAAGTTAATTTGCATTACTATTGAAAAAATATCTATATATATTTTCAATATATTTTTATTATACAACAGTTCTTTCAAAAAAGTTTTATACATCAGTATAGTTGTATTTGGATATATTTCTAGAAGATTGTAATTAACCTACGAATCTTACAGAATGGCAAATATTTACTACTACTTACAGAGAATGGCATATGTGTATTTATCATTATTACTAGAACTTTTATGGAAAATATGTTGAGACTATTAAATTAATTAAAGATCTTTCATTGTATTAACATGTTTACAATGCTGTGCATCACAGATGGCAATTTGTTTCTTTCATATCAGCCACCATGCTCCACTAGTGGCTCACCAACAACAGTAAAATTCATTGTTACTTAACTTGGCTGCATTTTTATATATTGGGAGTTTATCTTTGGTATATAGCCATAAATAATGTACATCTATTATTGTTTAGTATATCTGAAGCACAGGCACTTTTTTTGATAATACAAATTATGTACAAAAGTATACTTGAAGTGTAACAGATGCATTTATATTGATTTTAAAAAAATAATAAAATTTATCATTATTTTCTAGTACAGAAAAACATTTATACTAACTAGGTACCCATTTAAAATATAATAGTGGGTTGTTCAGAAAGTAATTTCGTTTTTTTTACCACTAGACGAATTAGTCATATTTTCCCTGCCATTTTCATTCTAAACCATATCATCATTATATATTTTGACAGCTAGCATTTTAAGGCTTATTTGTAAAAAATTTTGTTTGATTTTGTGCAATTGTTTATTTTTTGTGTCCCATCAAATGTGGAAGATCAAAAGCATCATTTTCGGCATATTTTGCTCTTTTATTACCAAAAAGGTAAGAATGCTGTTCAAGCAAGAAAAAAATTGTGTGACGTGTAAGGAGAAGATATATTGACAGAACAACAATGCCAAAACTGGTTTCCAAAATTTCGTTCTGGCAATTTCAATATTGAAGATGCACGTTCTGGGTGGCCAGTTGAAGCCAATGAAAACAAAATAAAAAAAGGTACTGATTGAAGCAAACTGCCGAATAATAACACGTGAAATCACTAAGATTAAATTTGTTAAATTGAACTGTTTGATTACTTGAAACAAATTGGTTTCATTTCAAAGCTTGATATATGGGTTCCACATGTTCTTAAAGAGAGATGCTCCCTTTGATGGGATTTTAAGGAAATTTCTTTTGGAGTTTTTACTAGACAATTTAGCAATTGATTTGAAAGTGTACTGCCATCTAGTAAACAAATTGAGTAATATCATCAAACAGAAAAGGCGGCCAGAATTGATCAACAAAACAGATGTAGTGTTTTACCACAATGTCAAATTTCACACAAGTTTGGTAACTCGTCAGAAACTGTTATAACTGAGATGGGATATGCTGTCACACCAACCATATTCGAGCACACTCAGATTATTACTTGTTCCAGTCTACACATATTTTTTTTTAATTGCAAGACATTTACTTAAAATGACAATGTCAAAAATCACTTGGATCAGTTTTTTGTAAGCAACGATCAAAACTTACGAATATGAAATCATGCCAGAAACAATGACAACAGGTATTGACCAAAATGGTCGATATACATAATTCAACAAAATATTTATTTATTATAAAAATATTGTGTTTTTTTTAATTAATATAAAACAAAACAATACATTAATTAAAAATAAAACAATACATAAATGATAACATAATCAATAACCAAAATTAATTTTTCTGTGATAATGGTTAGCTGAAAGATGAGGACCAAATCACCTAACATTATTAAAATATTATAGCTTAAACATAGCTGAACAAATTCTGCATACAAATATACTAGAAGCGTGCAATGCCATATTGTTGTAAATGCCAAAAAACAAACTTTTCAAGAGAGGTAAAAAAACACTTTCTAGTGAATGAATTCATTTCAATTTTACAATAAAATAGTAAAAAACTCACTAAGTTACAAATTCTCTAAAATATCAAACTGATGTAAATATAAGCTGTAACGTTTTAAGTGCCAAAAGTCACATGACTTGCACTTTTGCTCTTTAAACATTATGGCTTCACATAAATTCAACTTCAAAATATAGCTACTTACAGTGCCAACATTGCCACAACATTTTTTTGCAACAAAAAACATTGCATTTAGAATTCAATTCTTCAATAAAATATATTTAGAGAAAAGTGGCATTTACAATGTTATGGTATTGCACACTTTGCTTAAATAATTTTTGTTACAAATAATAAAAATATATTTATTTTTTAGTTTGAGCCATATATAGTAAACATATAAAATCTAAACAGTATAATAATAAACTGTTGTGTACCATATGTGGATAAAAAAAAATCGATTATAATTGAATTCTTTATAAATATCATCCTTTTTAAATTTTAAATGCATAGCATCTGATAAATAGTATTTTCAAGGAAAATCCAAAAAAAATTTTTAAATAGCAAATATAGCAAACATGTTAAAATCCGTAAAAGTTTTAAAATTTCAACATGATAAACTGTTATTAAATTAAAAATTAAATAATATAATTTGATAAAATATATATAATGCAAATTATTTAATAAGTTAATCAGTAATGGATTTATAAAAATTTAGTTTTTGTAAAAGTGAGCATAATATTTTAATATTACAACTGGAAATAAACAGTAAATTTCTAAACATATATAATCAATTAAATTAATTTTATAGATAACTAACTTATAAATAAGTTATATTAATTATAACATTATAACAACTTGTAATATAATTATTATTAATAATTATTTATTACTGTACTGTATTATAATTATAATAACTTATAAATAAATATTAATTCTATGCTTTAAATTAAATAATTGTGTTTAAATCATGTTTAGCACAGTAATAAGCAACCTTTTCTCAATGCAGTCCTGCAAGTGAACTTCATAGACTTCCAGCATGCTACATGCAGTTTATCTTACAGTTGCAGGCTTTTAGCCTGCTGAGTATCAACACACTTCATAACCTCCAGTAAACTAGGTACTGAAATAATATATGGTAATAATATGCAGACTAGTAATTATATATTATATAGTTTATTCTTTTCACTGATATTTGTAACAAAGAACATTCAAACTATATCAGCTTAGTTAAGGCTACAAAATGGCACAAGAAAAAAAACAAGAAAATAGAATTAGGACTTTGCAGGCTGAAGGTTGTTCAGGACTGGTTTAGCCAAATAATTTTGTTAGTTTAAAGAACAATATGTGAAAAATTTATTCATGAAAAAATAAAACATGAATTAAATTCTATCATCTATAAAATGTTCAATATGAAAAAATAATAATAATTTTTTAAACAAATATTTTGATAGGTGAAGTACCAGTATGAATTATGAGAAAATGCAGTATATAAGTGTGTGCGCTGTGTATGATGTAAATGGTCTGTTCAAAAAGTTCCAGAGCTTAATTTTCTTCATTTCTTTGGACATATCTACAACCTAGTTGTCATTGTCTCCTTCAAAGTACTCTCCTCCTTTATCAATACACAGCTTCCAGTGGTGCTGCCATTTCTGGAAGCACATCTGGTAAGTGTTTTTCAAGTTCATTCATAGATGCTCAGGCAAACTTTTCTTGATGTCTTCAATCATCTGAAATCTACATCCTTTCAAAATTGATTTCAGCATAAAGAATAGGAAAAAGTTTTCAGAACCAAAGTCAGTTGAGTAGGTGGGTGGAGAAGCACAGGTACTCCTGTTTTATTAGCCAAGAAGTCATAATCAGCAGAGATGAATGCACTGGCACATTGTCATAATGCAAAATCCATATGCTTTTTCCAGAGTTCAGGCCTTTTCTTTCTCTTAGGTGCCTTAGCACTTCCAGATAATAGCTCTGATTCACCATTTATCCATCTGGTAAAAATGCAAGATGCACAATGACTGATACAAAAATAACTGTTAGGTCAGATAAAGGTAAAAGTCATGCTATCACACTTTCTTTGGCCATGGCAATATTTTCCCAACCCACTATGACAACTGTCTTTTCATTTTTACATTGTGTCCATATGTGCAAGTTTCATTGCTGATAATGATTCTTTTCATGAAAGTTTCATCCTCATTGGGATGATCTAAAAGATCTGACAGATGGTAACCCAAGTGTCTCTCTGATCTTGCATCAGGAGTTGTAGCACAAACTTTGCACTAATACAATTCATCTGCAATTTTTCCTTGAGAATGTTGTGGCACGATCCTATCAAGATGTTGCACCCTTTGGTGCAACATCTTGATAGAATCATGCCACAACAAATAGGAATCAATAGGAATTTCCCAAATTGTCAAGTGACAATTAGAACACACAACTTCAAAAACTTGTACAATGTGAGCATTGTCGGATAATGTCGATGGTTGTCTCTACCATGGATTATCTTCTGCAGACTGTCAACCATCCTTAAATTTCCTGACCTACTCTTAACACCATGTACAACTAAGACACTTAATCGCCATAAACCTGCTTCAAGATTTCATAGATCTTCATAAACATTTTCTCAAGTTTGTAACAAAATTTGATGGCGATCTTGCTCTTGCATTTCCATCATTTTGCAATTAGCAGACACCCTCTCTACATGCAGATAAACAAAAATCCATAGCACTAAAACTAATTGCAGCAGAATAAAATGATGACCAACAGGTTATGAAGGAAGATAGTTCACTGCTACCAACACACATGGCTATACAATGTTGCTAGATCACATTGACATGCCATTTGAAATGTTCTGGAACTTTTTCAACAGATTAGGTATTATTTATATATAAAATTTCATAAAAGATTTAAACTACGTAAATAAAACAAAAGTAAAGCTTTTAAATTAAAAAAGTTATCAAATTAAGTGTTTGTAAACTTACCTTTTTGGTTGAGTCTCTGTCTGAAAATAAAAAAACAAAATTAACATTTATGTAATAAAATTTTAATAATACAGTTTAGTATCATTATATGGTTATTTTGGCTGAAGAAAACTAATGATATAAAACTTTATAGTTAATACACATATATATATATATATATATAAGTTGTTTTTTTTTCTTAGTGAATGAAATTACATACATTTAGATGATGTTGCCCTGAAAGTATTGGCCTTCTGCAGTAACACATTTCATACAGAATTTGTGCAATGATTGGAACATGTTCTAGAACCCCTCATTTGCAACCATATGCATAGTACTATTTGCAGCAGCAATCACCTCGATGAACTGTTGAATTTTCTGCTTTTCCATGAGACAGGATAATCACTTGTGACAAAACATGGTGTTTCCTGTATGACCTCTAGACAAAATGCTGGTCATCAAATTGGAAATGTGTCATGTCTCCCAGGCAGAAGCAGTTCAAATTGAATTGATCAAAGGGAAAGTGATGTTGGAAGTGTTTTTTGACAGCCGCAGAATCATGCATCACGAGTTCATTCTACAGGCAAGAACAGTCAACAAGGAACAGTACTGGGATATCCTATAGCTATGGCATGAGGCAATCAGACAAAAATGACCAATCTGTGGGCTTCAGGAAATTGGTTTTTGCTTCATGACAATGTGCCAGCTCATCAGTTAATCCATGTGCAATAATACCTGTATAAACACTGTTAGATGTCTCCCACATCCTCCCTACTCACCAGACTTTGACCCCTGTGATTTTCACTTTTTCCTAAGATAAAAACACTCACGAAAAGCAGAAAATTCAACAGTTCCAACAAGATGATTGCTGCTGCAAAAAGTGCTATGCATACGGTCGTAAATGAGGAGTTCCAGAACATGTTCCAATCATTGTACAACCTCTGTATGAAATGTGTTACTGCAGAAGGCCAATACTTTGAGGGTAATATTATCTAAATCTGTGTAGTTCCATTCACTAAGAAAAACAATTTTTCCACAAACTTTTTGAGGCTATCTTGTATATACACAGGCTTATTTAAGCTATTAATTACTAGTGATGCCAAGAATAGTGATTTTACCAAATACCGAATATTCAGCTACGCTCTTGGCCGAAGCACCGAATATTCGGCAAAATATGTGTACATTTTGCAGGTGACAGGTTATGACCTGTCTCATTGCGGTGGGTGCGGTAGTGACACCACAAGCACATTTGTTTTATTTGTGAGTAGATCGTGTCACAACACGCATTGTTTGTTCATTGTTACATCAAATTGTGTTACTAATAGTCCTTATTACTAAAAAATATCACTGTTTGTATCACTTTATATGAAAACTGTTTGCCTAGATCAGACGGCAGACCTTTACAAGTGGTGGTCAGCAAACACAAAACAGTATCCAAGTCCGACAGAATTCGCTAAGATTTATCTATCGCCTCCCAGCAGTAGTGTATATAACGAGAGGCTATTTTCAGAAGCAGGTATAGTTTATGAGGAAAAGTGCAATCGTTTGCTATCAACAAATACTAAAAAAAATTGTTTTCATTCATCACAACTTACCACTGATAAATTTTAAGTATTAAATGTAATAATTTGTGATTAAAATAAATACGTTTTTGAGTAATATATGCATTTCTTTTATCATGATTTGGTATTTGGCCGAATAGTATGCAACATTCGGCCAAATACCAAATATTAAAAAAAAGTAGCTGAATAGGCCGAATACCGAGTAGTAGCCGAATATTCGTGGCATCTATTAATTACTATTTATTATTTCTGTAAAAATATATGTATTTTTACAGAAATAAATAGCTTAAATAAGCTTGTATATTAAATTCAAATTACTTTCCTAAGATTAATATAATACATAATAAAATTTTTCATAAAATCAAAATTTCATAAATATATTAGAAATGCACAAAGCTAGGATATAAAAATTAAGACTATCTAATATCTAATGCAGTAAAACCTCAATTTAAATGGACTAATTTGGGCAAGGAAATCTGTTAAAGCCAAAAGTCAATTATATAATAAAGTAGATTTTCTGAATGCATTTGTTAAAAAAATTGACAAATTAGTTAGTTTATCTGGTTTTACTTATGTTGATATGTTTGTGTAATTAAAATTAAGTATGTATGAGAAGCTTAATTTCACAATGCATAAGCAATAATACAAAGTTTCTATATGTTTTATTGTTTACACATGCACCATTGTAATAAACAAATATATGATCTGATCTAATCAAAATAAACAAGCATTTTTTTGGAAAATAAAATTTAATTGTTTTTAACTAAAGAAATAAATAATGTTCTTAAAAGAAAACAAAATTTAAATTATATAAAAACACAAAATATATCATTTGAAGAATAATAAATAGGAACATATCAAGATACTCCCATTGTGACATGAAGTTAAGAGCAATGACTCTTGGTTTTGAAAAAATCTGTTATTTTAATTACATACAAAAAAGCATTTTAAAATTAACAGGGTGTTAATTTTCAAATATAATATATGGACTGGAAATTTTATTTGTTAAATCTGAAGTGCACTAAATCAAAGTCTATTAAATCAAGGTTTTTATTTTAACTGTATTAATTAATATATAATATCAAAGTTACATTGGCTTCACTACACTGGTAATTCAATAACAAGAAAAAATGTTTGCTTTATTCAACTTCTTACAGAAAAACAAAAGAATAAAACTAAATCTCAAAAAAATGAGGTATTATAGGCCTTGCAAGGCATCAAAGTTCAATTCTTAATATCTAATAGAATACCAGTATGTCCAAGCATTCAATTTAAGTACCATCTGTCTGTTTCTAACAATGTTTATTATTATTAATTTGACTCATGTTCTTTTAAACTACATTTTCTGTTTTACAGTTCTACATAAAATTTATTATATACAGTTACACATTCTTTTTTGATCACCTGATTAGCAGCTTTATCCCAAAACAGAGAACTGCTGTGAACAGGAATAACAAGCTCAAAAATTTTATTATAATCAACACATTCTTTATCTAAAGAATTATTATAAATTTAAATAAAGACATGAAGAAAATTGAAGTAATGCAGAACACTAGAAAATTGAGTCACTCAAGACAGCCAAAGATAGAGCCCAAGCATTATTTTCACAAAATTGATCTGTTGTATAACACACTCTTGCTAATCCAAATTGATCTGTTGTATAACACACTCTTCCTAATTCAAATTAATTGTTGTATCATGTCATCTGGATTAGTGGAGTTGTACATAAAGAAAGAAGAAAAGGACTTCAGAACAAATTCAACACATTTTTAAAAATTAATTCATGAATTCTTTATTTTTAGTAGGAACATTTAATGGAAAATGAACAACATTTGGTTCAGATCAATGAGAGTGAACTGTACTGTAGATTATATAAAGAATTTATATAGAGTTATCTCTTCTGATAGATGTCAGTTGTAAATATATTGAATCAAACCTGGAGAGGTGGTCACCCTAAGTCCATGGATTTCTGTATCTCATCTCTGGGACTTAAAAATAATTGCAACCTGGAGAAATTATTTATAAGAATTACTAAATAAAATAATAAAATTTTTGAGCTTGTTATTCCTGTTTACAGCAGTTCTCTGTTTTGGGCTAATCAGGTGATCAAACAGGTGCTAATCAAACAGCTGCTAATCAGGTGATCAAAAAATGTTATGGTCACATGATCATTAGAAAGCAGGTGTTCATCGTGTGATTAAAATAGCCTTCAGATTTGCAGAACTTCAGTGGTGATTCTAGTTATAGATTGTACTTTTTTGTTAACAACAATCTCAGCTTCTCTATTTGGAATAATTTTCACTACTTTATGCTTTATAAAAGGATATAACCCAGACTAACCCTCTAAATGCAAACTGACAAATTCTTTGAATTTTATAAGAAATTTTTTCTTAAACAGAAAGTGTATTTAACAAATTTCAGTTTGTCTGAGAATTAAATAAATTATCAGAAGTTTACTGATATTTGTCAGACTTCTGGTGGCTTTATAACAACGCCAAACAGATTTCTGGTGATTTTATTTTTTTTTAAATACTCTTATCAGTTCTCATGTTTGATTAAAAAATGCATAACAATTAAACTTATTAAACTATTCTTACAAATTTTGTTTTTAAACAACAGAGTATTTATAAGAACAGAAATTTTGAGAAGTTTGTTGGGATGATGTCTTCCCCTAAAATGTATCTTGGAAAAATAAAATATGGACCAATGTACCTGCCTCCTGCATCCAATTATTGGATGGAAGAGGCAGGTACTGTACATTGTCCAATAATCTAATAATTGCTTGAACAAATTAAATAGCAAAAAGTTAAATCAATCTTCATTCAAAATTTTTTAAACCATAAAAAGTTTATTTGCTTCCCATTTTCAATATCTTAAATGTCTATATATAATAAAATAAATTAACACCAGTGCTTTTTTTCAGTAGAAACGTGCCAGTATGCATACTGTTAACTTGAAGGAAGCAAATGAAACTTAGAAGATGCAAATTTCAGACTCCTTAAAAGATACATTGCTACAATGTATAAATTTGTTCACAATGTTAAAAGATGTTTTTTTAACCTTTTGATATCTCAACAATGTTATTAAAAATTATATAGTTTGATTATCTGATTATCTACTTATAAATGGAAATGATGTAATCATTAAAGAAAGTATTCAATACAATTTTTTCAGTTGGAGTGATCAATATTGGTGTGATGTATACTTTCATTGCCAACTACTATGATACTGGTAGTAATCAGCTTGTTAAATCCAGCACTGCTCTGCTGCTTTTGCTGTGTTGCAATTACTACTGAAGGTCTTTTAAAAATGCACATGGAGTGCACTGCAGTTCCAAAATGGTGGATCTCAGTGCAGCTGTTGGAATGTTTTGCAAATTATTTAATTCAAAACATTTTAAAAGTAATTCATTTTTTGATGAAATGCCTTGTTTGGGAGGTAAAATTAATGATTTATATTCCTGCAACACAAAGTGGATA